CCTTTCCCGAGCGTGCGCTTTGTGGAAGCCGTGAGTGCTTTAATAAGATAGTCCGTAAGCTGTTATGCTAGGAGATCTAAAGACTGTGGGTCTTGGATGTTACTTACAGTGCGGCGTATGGGTTGTAAGTTGCGTTTAATGATGCCGAGGAAAAGCTCCTCGTCCATCGTGTCGAGCCGAAACCTTCCCGGGGTCTGGCTGGGTGAATCGATCAGGGCCAAGGGGACCCGGGTAAGCAGAGATTCGTGGTCTGATGTCGTGTGTAGTGACGTTTCTATACTGGTGGAAGCCCCATGGAGGTTGCTGGACGCCCAGTATAAATCTAGGGTGTTGCCGCCTTTGTGCGTGGGTTCACCTATAGGTGACATTAGGACAAGGCTAGCGGCTTCTGCCCATTCTACTAGGTTTTCAGCGTCCGGGGAACTCGTGGCCTCGGGCTGCCACGTCCAATGGTGTAAGTTAAAATCCCCCGCAATCAGTACTCGATCCTCAGGTTTGGGTTGCCAGGCCGCTAGGATGTTCCTGAGAGCCTGGCCAGATCGCAGAGAGCCACGAGGGGCGTTATATACGTTAATGACTGTGAGGACCTCCTTCGTTCCTGAGAGGAGTCGTAAGAAGAGCAGGTCTATGGATGGATCGGGTAGAGGCCGTGTTTATACGCCTCGTACCCTAGTTCCTCTACGGAGGTAGGTAAGTGCCCTAGGACGGTCTTCGGTCCAGTTATCTACTAGGGTGAAAGTCTCAAAACCTAGGTGGTGTCTTGTGAGCCTCCTCTCCTCCGAACGGATAAACGGCTCTTATATTAGGAATATATCAATCTAGGCTGTATAAGCCAGGTTTAGTGCTATTTCGTGGGCGGATACCCGCCTGCCCACATTCGCTTATATGATTTGTAGGGTTTTAAAGGGCTATATTCTTCTTTTATATCTTATTCGCCGGGGTACAGTCCATCGCTTATTCTTCTTTATAGGAATATCGATGCGACTGCTAGGTCGCATTTCTCCATAATCTTTCTCCCTCAGCTCGGATGGCCCGTAGCTGAGCCTTATCCCTCCTCTGGACTACCCCCTTCACCACTTTGGGTTAGATAGGGCAAGTCGCATCGAAGGCGGCGTGAGGCCCGTTACACGACGGGCATTTAAAGGGGCAGTCGCAGCCATCGTGACCCTCAGTACCGCCGCAGGGTGCCCGGTGTTGATCAGTTGTGTGGGAAGGAGAGCTGCACTTGAGGCATCTCTTCCTTCTGGTGCACGTTCGTTCGTTGTGAAAACCGCCGCAGCGGAGACATTGAGGAGACCTCTTCTCCTTCGGGAACTGCAGGTTTACAAAAACGCTGGCCCCTATCAAACGGAGGCGTCTTGGTAGTTGCCTTACGGCTTCCGCCTTGAACTAGGCTGTCACCGTGCCTAGCCTTTTGACTTCGTCCTTCCTAGAGAAGTGTGCTTTTTCAGGCTTGAGTTTCGTCGAGACCTGGATCTCTTCAAGGAGCTCCTCGGTCGTGATTTCCAGCTTAGTATTAGTGACTAGACAATGCCTGGTGTAAAGGACGTTTGCGATATAGGCTCGGATCTAGGTATCGCGTTGCTCGATCGCTTGCGCTTGGAGAAGGGCAGCGATCTGTTCTCTGTTCTCTAGCAGGACTTTTGCACCATCCATTGATGAAGGTAGGAGTGCTAATCCTGTCTTGACATGGTCGATCCCCTTGAGGGCTTCTCGGGCTTAGGGACTTAGCCTTTCCCGAACAAAGATGTATATGTTGTAGGCTTTCCCGTTCCGAAGCGGGCTTTTAGGCGATAGACGCGCGAAGATGCGTAGATCCTTTAAGGCCGCCCGGTTTGTAGCTTGTTTTGCGGCTTGTTTAGCTGGCGTTGGTTCATCCTGTCTTCTGGATAGTGGCTGGCTCGCCGCCGCCGCGTATGAACGGACTGGGGGCGGCTGGTTCTGGGTTGTGTGCGAGGGATGCCCCTGGGAACTCAGGTCAGTCTCGCTAGGCCCTGTGCCAATAGCGTGCATAGACCTTGCTAGACCACGTTGATGCCGGTTTGAATGCTGTTTCTCCTCCTGAAGCTCTCTCTCCAAGGATTCGATCTTCGTCAAACAGTCTTTCAAAAACTGTTCCCTCTCGGCGTCCCGACGTAGGAGGTCCTGGACAAGATTCGAAAGCTTGTTGATCTCGTCTTTAAGCTTAGAGTTGTCCTGGTGGTTAACCTGCTCAACCACTCTGACCTTTGCAGTCGGCTTCCGGACTCGTCCCGACCGCCGAGATATACCGTCGTCCCCGTGAACCGTGATCGATGGCCCTACATCTAGGGAGACCGCCATGGTCGTGGAATTCAGCTCGTATGGGCTGATGTTGAGAGATGATAGTGCAGTGGGCCGTAGCCCTCTATAACCTTAACAATTACTAACAGTGGGTACCTTTCGAGGTATGTGTTCAGAAGTTGTTTTTTTGCCGCAGAGGACAAGGAACACTAGGCACCCTCTCACGGAACGGAAGAACTATGGACAAGTCACGTGATGATAAGAGATAAGAGATAAGGATAAGGATATGTTGGATATGAGCTATCCAACATATCCAAACAAGGACACTGTCCAGCACAAAGGACATGTTCAGAATCAGGACTTGTATATAGGATGGACTTGAGCCGGACTCTAGGACAGACTTCCCATAGCTTCTTCAGCAATTAACTTCGTATCAGGATTAACATCCGCTTTCAGCTACTACCTTGACAAGACTACGACTGATCACCGAAGCCTTACCCACCCTTACGATTGACAGACATAGTTTCCTTGAAACTATTCCACGACTACGATTACTGTTACCAGTTCCGCAGCCTCAACTTCTGCAAACTACCCCTACGACTAGCTGGCCGTAACATTAGAGTAGTAGTAGGCGTGACGGATGAGTGCGAACTGAGTATAGAGAAGAGTAAAAGAAACCTATAGAGGAAAATAGGAAGAAGAAGAAGAAGAGAAAGAAGGAGGCGACTAGAATAATATGGTCGATAATAGGCTGTTAATAGGTAGCTAAAACGCGTTAAACTAAACGGGTATAGTGTTATAAAAAGTAGTACGAGCCTCCCTATCTCCGCCGAGCGTAGCTACCGGCCTACGTAGATAACGGTCCTACCCAACCCCGACGAGCCAAGGTCCAGTACGGCCGGGTTAATATACAGCCACGCCCCCGTACGGAGGCTATCTATAATACCCAGCGGCCGTAATACCATCTTTAATAGGTACCGCTTATTTCCGTAAAAAGGTACCCGCCAAGCCGGTCAAGCACGGTAACGGCCTTAGAGGAGGCTAGGTCGAGCCCGTACTCGCCCTCCCGCACATAACGCCGCTCCATTTCGTCAAGCGCCAGCTCGAAAAGGCGGTAGTAAGTAGATACGATATAGGGAAAGACCTTAAGGGGCATAAACCGGAATATATATATATATATATAACTCGTACTCTAAGAGGAAGAAGCGGATAAACTGGAAGATAGGGCGGATAACGGCCTTAAACGTACGCTCGGCGCTAATTATATACCCTATATTAAGCAATATGACCTTTTTTATCTAGTATATAACCTTTTTATTGTTAATAGCGATGTTTATTTAGCCATGCTCTCGTGCGAACGGCTTGGACTGCTCCGGGTTCTCTTATGTAGCGTACTTACGGATGATACGTAGTAGCAGCTCTTGCTTATCTCTTATATACATCGTGGCCGAGGTGTAGGCCGAAGGTGATACGCCTCATAAGGCGCAGGAGGCGAGCCCAGGAGATGAGGGTAAACCGGTCGGCATAGGCCGGACTATTGACGAGTAATATATTGTCGTTAATAAGCATCTTGGCCTCCTCCGTTGTGGTAAACTCGTTGATGTGATCCCGGATAAAGTTAAGGACGCGTTACTATATGTCACGAAACAGGAATGGTATCAGCACTTGTCAAGCATCTTGCCACGTGCTTTCTCACGTGGATATCACACTCTCTTAGTATATAGACTGCTCTCATGTGCTCATTCTAGATGGGTTACTTCAAGCCACTTTAACCCACTTCATATGCCCATTGCTGCGTGCCATAACTCGTGACAAAAATAAAGGGAGAGGTAGGTTGTACGAAATCAAAGAAAAGTGGCTCACTCGCTTGTGAACTACGTTATGCAAAAAAGATGTCCTGCTAAATTAAACTCTTTTGCTTCTCATAGCGCACGGACACATCCTTGACAGTGTGTATATCATCATGCTCACACTTAGTACTGGAATGGGTACCAGCTTGACTACTCCGGAAATGGATTACGCTGGGAACCGATGAACACCGTGGCCACAAACCTGGGTTGTTGTCGTAAGGCTTGAAATGGATTACACATTTTCCAATAGGAAGACCAGCAAAAGTCGGCAGAATCAGCAAAAGACTTCATAATTATCGTGTCGTTCCTCGCTCGTTCCACACATGACCTGCTCAGAATCATCTGCGGTAAGTTGCTATGTAGGTGAAACAACTGCCGCTGATGACAGTATAGCCAAGCTGGCCGGTTGTAATCCACGGACATTACGACGAATTCGCTCGAAACTGCCTCTGCTTGGGTCTGTGAAGATCAACGTCATATACTCCCGGTCGCCTCAAACCCATCACTCCTCCCATGTTGAGCGCGCTGCGCAGCCAACTCGTCCTCAACCCGTGCCTTACCCTTGGTGATTTGGCTGCTTTCTTTCGGGAACATGACATTACTGACATGTCCGCTTCAGCATGAGTCTTACGGAACTTGAAGGAAAGCAAGTGACCCCAGAAAGCCATACAATATTCTATCAAACAGTGTAACTTAGACCTGCGAAACGAATACATGCACCAGATATCACAGCCTAGATCCGAGCAGTTAGTGTTCGTAGACGAATCTGGCATAGATAGGAGCATCAGTCGGCATTGCGCCCGGCAGGTCTTTTCCTGCTCAGGGCGTCAAATACATCATCATGATTATCAGCATTGTTGCTGATATGACAAGTGGTTTTCTAAACGTCCAGGAACAAATCAATTAATTAATCAATCCATCAAGTCATCGTAGTACTAGGCTGTACTATAACTCTGGCCGCTGACAGTTTCAATCCAACTTTTCCTTCCAAGCGAAATACTGAAAAGGCATATAAATCACAATAAGTGCTGCGAGCAAAGCCCCTAGACCAAAGCCAGAAGAGTCATCGGCCCTGCATGCAAGATACATGGCCACAATTGCCCAGATAGTCACCATGATTACAAGAAGAAGAGAGAAAAACAGGTGCCAATTGAAGCGCTCATTAATCCGTATGCCCCACCCAATTACTCTTCCCCGGGTTCCTGGTTGGCGGTGTAACGGACCTTGAAGCTTCTTGGGAAATGTTGTGATCCAGTAGTTGTCGCTATGTCGGAGGCCGGGGAGCGTTAGATGCCACAATGGGATGGAATCAACCGCAACATCAGTCGGTACTGGATTGTACGAATAGCTTTTCGCTTCTAATACTTCGTAGACAGGGGGGTATTCCCCACATTTGAAATGTTGTGGTTTGGTAGATTCTCCCATCGGAACGAGTCGAAACTTTTTTGGGTGCTATTAGTGGCAGTGTTCTACAGGGGAAGAAAGCCGTGTTGATGTACCTGAACGTAATCGCCAGTGTGCATGATGAAAAGACTAGCCTCAGACAGCTTCTGAAAGAATTGGAATATCCAATCCAACCAGCTGGGAGTATTTCGCCTGAGATAGACCACCGCTTTGTCTAGTATTCCACACACTGACGGCGGGAAAAGCAGGGATATTCTCCAGGTTGATCCCTCACGTATTGTCTGATATCTTTCCAAGATATGCTGGAATAGGTATTGATCGTTCCCGAAAGAACTGCAGTCGATATGGTCCAAAACCGGAAGGCTTTTTTGATTGACACACAGCAGCAAGTACTGGGGAGTAAGTTGTCCTCCTGGATGCAACGCCATTTCCTCGGACCGTGACGTGTCGGACGCCGGCGTTGACGATCCTGGTCTTGACGAAAAAGTGCCCAGTCCACAACTCTGCCGTGACGAGCTAGACTGACTTCTCTCTGACCGAACATGCGCGGGAGGGAGGGGGGAAAGACTGCTTCGAGGATCTTGATCCGCTGTTGACTCCTGAGCGGTAGTTGAGTCGTAGGGGGTAATGAGCCTGGCAAGTCCATCTTTCACAAAGCGCTGCCGTAATCGCTGGACTCCGCCTGACTCGAGCTCTTTGATGTCTAAAAACATGTGATCACCGCATTCCTGCAATACCTAGTAAGCCCCAGCTCCTTATTCCGAGAAGCGAGATGACAACGGAAATTATCCACCTACACAGATGTAACGAAGTCTCTGATATCCCGTTTTTGGTGGATAACACGTATCGTAAAGCCAGGAAGATAGTTTGCTTTTCCAATAAGCAACGCTATAATACCACCCACGCGACTTGGTGGTATTGGCCCCCCGCTGTGTCTCCGTCTCGGTTTGGCTCCGCATTTGTGTTTGCGTCTCCTCCACGACCATGCGGGGGAGGTGAAGGAAGTCTCGAAACTCAGCTTTGAATTCCATTAGCGATGTTCCGGAGGCGAAATAGCTTCTCGCATTCTTGAGATCAACGAGGTCAAGGCCATCTTGGTCGTCTTCTTGTTCGTGTCCATCCACGGAGCTTTCTTGTTCACTCCGCTCATCAATATTCAAAGGCGTTTCCACTTCTGCAACAATTGCATCTGAGCGTACTTCGACGCTGTTAAGATAGCGTTCCAGAGTCAAGTTCCGCTCGTCAAGTTGAGGCAATGTTATGTGAACTCTTTCCCTCCCTGTGCTCTCGAGAATCTTTCTCGAGATCAGTGATCTGTTGGATCTTGGCCTGAGGAAATTAACCGCTACGCTTTGTTTTTGGTTTGGAGCTTGTGATCGCAGCGACAGGTAGTATATTTTGAGCAAACGTCCATGGTTCCGAGAAAAGCGTTCATCATCCAAACGTTTAGATGCTTCTTCATATAAGGGGCGGAGGGTTGCGTCATTAGTCAACATTTCAGCCAAGTAGCTAGCTGCAGCATTTCTGACTTCCCAGCGAGTAAAATCTGATCCATCTTGCGACTGAATATCTTCAGGTCCCGATGCAAGGGATCTGATTTCGTCATCGACATCATCGCGGTAATTTTCGATCTGCGTGTGATTATAGAAAGTCTTGGCTCTCTGTCTTGTTGCGTTATCCTCGTCAACGGCATTGATGTCTCCCTCAAGTGACGATGGCTTCGTAGAGACGAGACCTCCGCTGAATATTTCGCTAGCCATATTGGAAATACCGTCACTTTCGGTGAAAATTGTGTGGGCATCTAACGGTGTAAGTTGAAACTGATTTTCGCGTGGAAGATCTGACCAAAAGGACTCTGGTTCAAGTTCTCTTGTGGAAGCCTGCGTCTCTCTTCGTTGATTGGAGTTAAGGCGGCCTAATATGTTCTCGTACGCATCTTCCACCTTGGTTGGGAGAGTGTTGATCGTCTTGATGAACGCACTTTTTGGCCACACCTGGCTGTGAGAAATCTCATCCATTACAAGGTGAAGCCAGGGATATGTTCGATGCGGAACTGAGAAGAGCTTTTCTTGCAACATATCTTGCACTTCCTGACTCATTCCGAGTTTATGCCCGGCTGTGGCTACCTCGTGTCGAATGACGAGGTTGATTTCCTCGCTGATGTCAGCATTACTCTCTTCTCCAGCCAGACGAATCGTTTGAGGCTCAGGAATGTTACGAAACTCAGCTTCAATATCCTGATGTGGTCGACTAGTCACAAGGAACTTGAGTTGAGACTTTCTCGTCGACATTTTTGGGTGGTTATGGAAGTTCGTTAGAAACTGAATGAGTTTTCGTCGGTCATCAAGGCAGCACTCGTCCAAAGCGTCCAGAACACAAGTAACACTGACTGCTTGATCGTCCTTGCCAGCCGCTATAAAGATACGCCACAGCTCATCCACTTCAGTCTGCAGTTTCTCTCCGTTCTTTTCAAAGGCCGCCATAGCTTGGCGGATAAGGAGTGGTTGACAGTAGAAAAGCTGATGAAGAAGAGCACATAAGGCTGTCGCGAGTCTATTTTGGTCCTCGTTGTCCTTAAAGAAGAAGTAGCACACTGTATGCTCGTTGGATTGTTGTATCTCCTCGTCAATAAGGGATTTGGCCAATACAGACTTTCCACAGCCTGGGCCAGCCGAAATCCAAAGGAGGTCATCCTGACGGCTGTGCTGCCATTTCTTGTATCGTGCATGCTCTAACACCCATTTGCATGTGCCCGGGACTCGATCAGGGTTGATGTTCTTGAACCTCTCATATGCGCTCGTTCTAAACATTCGATGGCAATCAACCTGTTTTTGGCTCTTGTATCTGACCTCCTGCTTCTGCGTCTGTGCCGAGATGGCCGCATTTGTGTTAGAAACAAGCTTATAGAGGTGAGGATCTACTTAAGGAATTAGTAACCAAATATTTCTTGAAAACATATTGACTAGGGAGACAACTTCGAACGATGGATTTTGCGTATCGAAGGGCGAAGTAATAAAACTATTCAGGCTTGGAATTATCGACTTACCGAACACTAGTTGCGGTATAGGCGTCTCCTGCAGGACCCTATCTGGCGGTATGACTGAGAGAAGCTCCTTTGCAAACGCGGCCGATGTTGCAGCTGCGTATTCTTGCCACCGTTTGTTATTGTGAGAGTCCGCGTAGTCGCAAACACCACGGATGACTAGGCATGGGAAATCTTGTAGTCCTGCAGCCTCTATCTCGAAGCAGAGCACCCCAAGCTCTTTACTTAACTCGTCGCGTGTCTTTCCATGCTTGATTACCTGATTGCCTGAGGCAATGTTGCCGTAATGAATAACCGGGTCTGTGTTATCTCTGTCGTCCCGCTGAATCGTCTGCGTATGATCACACTGATCACAAGTAGAATCTGGACTCACGTGGTCATATTCTGCTTGGAAGAGATAATCGTAGAGAGCACCTTGATGACCGAATTTATTTTTCATCTTTTTAGGGCTTTTGCTGACAAGTTCAGATAGAAAGTGGGGGATTCTGCTGTCTTCGATTAGGTGGTCGGCCTGGAGACGACTCAGGGCGGCTAATAGGACCTGGGGTGGTGCGTTGAGCGATCCTGTGCATTGGAACTCTCCCACCTGCACTGTCTTCCCCCGATCGTACTGGATAACACCTCCACTTGTTTCAGCGGGTTGGCTAACCACGATGTCGCCCAGCCGGATGTCATGTTTTCGCGACGGTACACCACCGCCGATTCCAACCATCAAGCCGAACCGGATTGACTTGAAGGTCCGCAGCAAGTCCTTCGTGCCCTTGGCAGCTGGTGTTATTCGATGGATGCCTGCAGGCAGGCAGGCGATGACGACGTTGTGGCCTTGGACCTGACCCAAGACGTAGCTGTTATGGTCGGCTGGATCCTGCCAGGGCAAGTTCGGATGAAGCTGATCGAGCATCCCTTTTGCGGCAGCCATTTCCAGCGGGAGGGCACACACCCAGCCCACAGTATAGTCCTCTGCAACAGGAGCATCTCCCCCCGGCCGATCAACACCAGTCTTTTTCTTTTTTCCGGGTTGGAAGTCATCGGCATCAGAGTCTGACAACGCCATTAGAAAGGACTGGTAAGGACTGGCATCCCAGACTCCGAGGGGGCTTACCAGGTGCTGAGGTACGGCCATGCTCGAGCGAGCCGCTCTTGCTGTTTGCGACGCTCTTATCGTTGTCATCACCTGACTCTTTGGTATTCGGATCGTACATCTTTCGTCGGTTGACTGCTGGCGATCGTATCTTCGGGTTAAGTTTTGGTGGATCGATTACATAGCAGGCATGAACTCCGCTGGGCTCGAACAGATTACAAACGCATTGATTTAGCAGCAGGGGAAGTCCTGCTTCTTGAACGTGAAGTGCTAGGTCAGCCTCACATTGACTGCATATTACCGGTAAACGGCTGTAGTCCAGGGTCTGACCCCTCACTATTTCCGCTCCGACCTATCATTTGCTGAAGGCCAGTTTCTCAACATGCGTGGATGCCTGAGATGAATTTGCCAAGGCCAAATGCACAGGCCGCTGCGCTTGCCAGTCAATTCTGCCCTGTGTAGCCTAAGGACTCATGAAGGCACAAGAATCCGCCTGGGCGTCAACGTCGAGGCGTATCGCGGGGGCAGGTAGTACACTATCAACACCGGTAGTCCTCGCAAAGTACATCCTGAGTATGATGGTCCCGTCTCTTTATACAGAAGCATGTCCCTCAATAGACCCACTTGTTCTTCTACAGACAATCACGCCGGATCTAGGATGTGCTCTCAAACAGCTAGTTCACTTGTAGAGACGATTGGGTGGCAGGAGTCGAAAGGGACGGCCTCGGAAATAACAAATAGAAGGTTATTCACGCAGGGTGTACTGGGGTAAGCAGGTTTCGTAGCGCTTGCCCGGAAGTGGACTGTGCTGTTCCCTGTATAGAGCAATCATTCGTTGATGGAGATGAAGCTACTTTACTCGACTTCTGGGTACAAGCGGGAACTGGCTTTTCCGCTCTCGTAGGTGTAATTCGGTAGCCATTTCTGACTTCGTACTGTACATTAAAATATTCCACAGTACCGCTGGCTCGTGCGCTAACATCACAAATAGTACGAAGAGGACACTAAATTCGCACATAGCTATACACCTCCTGTACACTTCGCAAAGACATGAAAACATCGCTTCTGCACTCGCGGATGGAATAGTTCTCTGGTTGAAGCTGTCAGCATTCTCGTTTTGCTGCAGACTTGGCAGCTTCTGGCTGTTCTTGGTGACATGGCTAGCAAATCTCGGCGAACCGTGAATGCATTACATACGCGCTTCGAGCTGACCACGCTTCCTCTCCGAAGCAAGCAGTGGCTTTCGAGTTGTTTTGGTCATAGAGCCAATCATACCAAGAGCTGTTGGCTGATTTTGGTCCCGCATTTTCAACCACTTGGCAGGGTGTTTTCTCCTTCCTTTCTTGGCGCCTCGCTTTCTGCAAGGTTCAGCAGTGGCTGGGGCGGGTTGGTTTCTAGAAGTATAATACCGGGAAGCTACATATCTCTTATGCTGCTTTGCTGCTTGTTGGCATGAGATTTTTATGCAAAGGGCAGACTTGTGCTTTCTAGACTATTTGCAATGAGACGCTGTGCAGAGACGCCACATTTTGCCACATCGCTTCTCGGCAACTGGGCAGAAACATCCATAAGCACCCGAAATCAATCGAACATCAAATCAAACCGGTGCACCCGAAAGCCGATTTCGGCCGCAAACGTGGGACGAATCCAGGTAAAGCGAACTTACTACTCCCAGCAAAGGCCTTGGACATCATCAAACATCGCACCTTCAAAGTTTGCGTGTTGTCGCTTGTGCCCCTGTCGGGAAGATTGCCGAGAAGATCCAGAACCGACTGCAATGACGATTTCTTTACCCTTAATGACCAGGTTCTGTGGTCAGGTGTGGCTGTGCAGTGCGTTGCGGATTGACCCGCGTTTGGCCCTCTTCAGTTTGGTATGATCCGGCCACCGCGTCTCACCACACGTATTCAAAGGAGTAGCCCGTTGCCTTCATCAGTTCAAGCACCTTTGCAACGTTCAAAATGTCTCTCTCCTCGACAGCAGAGTTCAGATCTCGCAGTTGCCAAAGTAAATCTTAAGGGTCTGTTGTGTATCTTGAATGGTTTCTCGATTGATGCCATATGTGAGTCGCCTACTCTCCAACGACCGCTCGGTACACAAGGCCAACGGAAGGCATTACTAGCTGTCCAAATCATAGGAGGAAGAGTAGAATTCAGTTGAAGATCATCAAGTAGCTGCGGTGTATGAACCGCAAGGGAATGAAGAGGTAACGAGATATTAAATTGGCTCACTTCAGGGCCATCTCAAAGCCGATAACGGCTTCCATTCCATAAAGTCGTATTTGAGGGCAATATGGTCCCATCTCAATACAAGAGGTATTCTTGGGCAATAAGGGGTAGATCACATTTCGGTTGTAGATCACTTAACTCACAACACCATGGCCCCCGTGGTGTCGAACGAGGTTGTCTTCATATACGACAAAAAAGCCAAAGAGAAGGTCCGGAAATGTGGGGCAAGCGCGAAACGAAAGGCCGTGTAGCTGGGCAAGGGCGCCCAGGTGTTCTTAGCCGTCATCCATTTTCATCCGACTTACGGTTAATTGGATGGAGCTGTCTATGTACCGGACGGCCAAAGCATTCCCGACGTGAATGGTTTTGTAGGTCTTTGCAGTAGGAAATTCTTCTGCCGTTTGAATGGCCGACCTGAACTGACGTGCATCTGAACCAGCTGGCGGAACTCGTCAACGGGATGCACGGTGGTGGACGCCGCCGCCGCGTCATACGCCGTCAACGGAAGAGAACAACGTCGGAGCCTGGCTAAAATACGGTGGAGACGGGCGACAACGTTGAAATGGGGGAGGTCGGAAGCAGTGTACAGGGAGAGCCCGATGTCGTTGGAGTCGAAGACGCAAAGGCGAAGGAAGCTCTAAGTGGGGATGTGGATGCCCCACACGAAATCGAGGCCGATGACGACGGCGCCGCTGTCTTTGGCAGCACAGTGTCGGACGTCCCGCAAGATCACGCTGATGTTGACGAAGACCCCAACAACCCAGCAGGATACCAACTACCCGCGGATACAGCACTGTTCAAACACGATGTCGAAGGCTTGATGGGGGGCTTTATCATGAGTGACACTGACACTGCGAGTGCGATGAACGCGGCTGGAGAAGACTCCTTCCTCGGGTGAAGCGGAGACGGAGGACACGTCGGGAGCTGAAAGGGGAGCCTCAAACCATCAGACGAAAGCTCTACAGACGCGAACAACCGCTGCCGCACGTGCCTGCCGAGCTGACAGAAGTTCTTTCAAAATTCACCGGTTCTTTTGTCGGGTTTCCCAGCGGATCCGGCTTGCAAGATATGGAGGGGAACTGGACACGGGACATGTACTTCAGACAAGGTAAGGTGTCAAAGCTGTTCGGGGTGGTCCAGGCTACGGCGCACTGCAGAGGAACCGAGGTGACGGGTCGCTGTACGGCGCTGGACGGCCACCGTTAGTTTGTTGTAATACATCTGCTCAGTGATCGCGTTTATGAACCGGAAACTGAGCCAACGGTTGAGACGAAGCACCTTTGTGATCTTACTTGAGCAAGGCTCAAGCAAACAATGTCGAATACTTTCCATTGTTAGCACTTGCTCCTTCAATCAAGGTATTCATGATATATAGCTCATACTCGATGCAAGAAGCACATGCGTTGAAAAGAGGACTGGGATCTGGGGAGACGTTGTCAGGAGAGCTGCCCAAAAAAAAGCCGCAGCTCGTAGACCGATACAAGGATCACGCTGTCGGATTGGAAGTCCAATTCGGCTGCGAGTCAGGGCAGGAGCAGGGGCCAGCTCCTCGGCCCTCAATTACACCTCGACTGCCCACCCAACCTCCGGTTGGAATCTCCCTTTTACACGTTACGCAGAAGTTAATACAGTACAATTGACCTCTTCGTCACCCCCAGGACCCTACGGTTCGAACCAACATCCCTGTGATAGGGATACCAACAGCTTTATCTAGGCGTTACTTCCGCGCTGCGGCTGTCCCTCGGACCAGAAGATGTGCTTTTCCCAGAAACGTTTCCGGCAACGAGAAGAGCCTTTTCGACGATCAAGGGTAGGTATCCCTGTTCATTGCCCCTGCTCATGCGATCCACATTTTGCTCAGCCAGGGATCAGTTCTAGTGACCGTCCATATTCTACCCAGATACGTACTAAAGTATACTAGTAGCTATCCCCTCACCCCCTGTAGGCTATTGCCCATACGCTAAACATAGATCCGCCGCTTATCCGCGTTTATTAACAGGAGGCTAAGCGCGAAACTCGTTAACAGATAAGCTTATTAGCCAGAGGCAAATCGCATATTTTGCATAACGTATCATCGCTTATTATAACTAGCAGATTCCGTCTACAAGAAATCTAGATAAACCCTATGCACAGTACATATGTCTACCAAGTGACTCGTAAAGAGTTTTGCTATCCGGGCAGTAATCCAGTTTAATGTGGCCTTGTAAGCCAATCAGCGCTCAGTAAACTTAGCGCACCTTCGTCGGTCCACCCCCCGCACTTGCCGCGCTGGCCCAAGCTCGCAATTTCCACCTGTCAAGTACGTACTTACTACTTCTACCCAAGACGCAGCGCTACCGCTCCGCCGCGCACCAGTCAGCCCAGACCACCTCGCAAGGTCGGCAATTCAGCGCCACGGTTAGTTGGAGGAGACGTCCACGCGGCGAAGAGATGCAGCAGACGAGGCGCTAGGTAGCCGCCGGCATCTACGGCGCCGGGGAATATCTGACCCGCTCAATTGACCAATTGGAGGGTAGTCAAGCCAATTTTGACCAAAATCGAGATTCGACGAGATCTCTCGATTACCGCAATAAAAGCCAACATAATGTCGAATTATACAACTTTACATAAGCAGCAGAAGTCGAAGTAGTCAAATTGCCCGTCAAACTGCGGGGTGTTTGCGCTAGTTACGGCTATTGCGGGACGCGCGGGCCAAAAGAAAACTCCAATGAACCAGACGCTACGATGGGTGGGAAAGGTGGGTCTGCCCGGATAGCAAAACTGTCGTCTGAAAGCATTGTATTTCGCCGCTCTCATGCTCCCATGGGTGGAAGGACTATTCCATAAGTCTACTGCCTTCTCCCTGATCTGTAGCTGTCTTCCACACCTCATCCTAATACTTCAACCCTCTTCCATTCCACGTAACGCTCCTTGCTTGAAACTCCTCCTCCTAGGAGGCGGTTAAACTCCTCCTGGGCGCTAGTCTGTCCGGGCCGCAGCTTCAATCTGAACGGCCACTTCTCGATCACAGTGTGGTTTTCCTTTATCATGGCTCCAACCAGCTAAGCACTCTGAGAGAACATAAGCTTCGCAGCATACCTTGGAGTATAGTTAGCATACACCGCAAAGTAAATAACTTTACTAGGTTACTTACTGGTCAAAGACGTGGTTATAGGTTAGTATATAATCCCGGGCGGCCATGATTTTGAAGATTGTAGTATCGTAATAAGTGAGCGGTCTTCTGCTAAGCGATAGGTACTCGTAGATGCGCTTCGTCACTGTGCCATCCGCCTTTATCTCTGCGAGCTTTTCCGTTTCGGTGATGTTTTCGTCCACAGTATTCATAAATAAGGTAATCAGGGTCGCGTGGGGGTTGATGAGAGGGCTCTGAAGGAGAGGAACCATCAGATCGAGCGTACGATGGATTCCGAGATACCCGGCGTCCGGGATGTTAGAGACCTATGAGCTGTTAGATGAGCAAGTTCGCCGCAGTGTAGGTGTTAACGCCTATTTACCTCAATCCGGTTAAAGGAGCTGTTTTCGAGCAACTTGGGAAGAGTAGACGCGTCCATGTGGAACAGTCTAAATGAGATCTGCGAACTTGAGAGACGACGAAGAAACGCTAGAAGTACCGTACGAAGGCTGATGAGGAGCTTGCCGTAGATGTCAGCGGTCGCAGGTCCGGTCTGAGTCTCTTGGACTTCCTTGGCAGACCATCCATTGAGGGGGTCTGCATTGTCGTACATGGGCCAGCTCGCGTCCTGGTAAATAGTTCTAATACTAATTAGCCACACGTTCCATTCCACTGGTGGAGAAAATCTATTACTCACGGGTTGGGGTGCCGAAAGGCATCACGCGCATTTCCAAACGGAAGCAGAAGTCCGTCCTCGCGGAAGCGTGTTAGGGCGATTCGATGGGAAAGGGACTGGACCAGAAGGTGACGCTCACGATAGTCCTTTCTACCCTCGGCGAGGGTGACGGCTTTGCGAATCTCATGTGCCCGATTAGCCGTCAGGCCCTTGGGGGTGCCCGTGAAGGACAAGAGGTCGTCCCACACAGACTTTTTTAGCACGAGTCTCAGCGACCGCTGGCCGAACGTCCAGTTCTTTGCTTGGAGGTTGTCGGAACCCTTTCCCTTCAGCTTGTGGCAGACCTCCTCGAGGACTGGACGGATCCGATGCTGCATGATGTCGAGGTCGGATTTGCGGAGGAGGGCGGAATACCAGACGTGAATGATGCAGTCGGCCGCGATGTCGACATCGTCCACCACGAGACTGATAAGAAGCATTATTACGTTCCGAGCGACAATATCCAGATTGCGGTCGTTTATAGTCACCTCGACGGGCTGAGTGTAGCTATCGGGGAGCTGAGCGATGGTCTTGATGACGTTTCGAAGATCTCCGGAGGCTATGTGTGATAAGTTAGATTTAACCCGGAGCTCGTTGATCGTGGTACTCACCGGCAAACAAGAGGCGCACCTGCTCGTCGTAGGAGACGCCTTCGTTTGCGTTAAGTTGGAGGACGTCGAAAGCTGGAACGTTGCCCCAAAGGTACTTCCCGGCTCCATAGGTCACCTGAGGGTGACCATTCCCGATGAAGGCCGGAGCTCGGTTCTCCAAGACCCAGTCAGGCTGCCAGCCCTCCCTTCCAAGGTGAGATTTGCAGTCGGACTTGTGCATAGTCCAGTGAGACTTCTGACACTCGGGGCCACAGTACTGGAGGAAGGCTGGGTTAGCAGATAGAGACAAAATCTTCATGGGGAATGCGGTGTTTACTGTGACGAGAAGGTAGTTCTTGCAAGCGAACCTGCTAGTGTTGTTGCATTTTGCGTTGTTTGGCGCCTGGTTGGCGCAAATGGGTTGGAAAGTCGCCATTTTACCGTCGTTGCCACTAAGGATTAGGCATTATTTGCAAGAAGAGGAAGTTGAAAACTTTTGTTAAGTTATTTATACTGCGTACTTACCCGATTCTATGGGTTTCTAGGCGGCTGGTGAAATTTGGGAAGGCAGGTGTACTTGCCTATCAAAGGCTCCTGCCTCCACTATATAAATGCTCTGTTTGCTATACAAACGGTGGAGTGTTGTTGGTATATACATCTTGTTAAGGCCCGTGGATCACGTGCCCCGCGGTCAACCCCAGCCTCTACACCTGCTGCTCCTCCGGCGCAGACTTGGCTACGTACATACGATCAATACCACCATTGTACCTACGAACCCTGCGCCTCAACATATCAGCAGGGGTAATCGCACGGTTGAACGAAGATAATAGTCTGGTACTATGCTGCACATATAATGTGGAAGAAGGAGGAGTTGGGTGTAGCCCATGATTTATCCAGAAGTTGTAAGTAGGTGGAAGGGCCGTTTGTACGGCCCAGACCGCTGTCCATATTCATCTCCCTGCCAACTGCTCAGATTCCAACCGTTTCAATTAGGGTGGGGTGGGGGGACGAGGAGGACCCCGGCAGCCCCCGGAGTCTGAAGCCGTTGATGGATACTGTTGGATCTCTAAGCAGTCGGCAGAAAAGATGGATATGGAAGGCGGTAAGGGCCGTACAAACGACCCTCCCACTTACACCTTCCGCTGGAGGGATCGCTGGGCTTCGCCCAATTCCTCCTTCTCACACATACTGAATCTACGCATCAATAGTACGATTATTGACTTCGTACTCAGCTGTACGGCCGAGCCTGCTGGACGCGGCTCGCGGGGCGCTATGACACGAATGGCATTGAGGTATCGCAGACCTTGAAGGTTACTTGTTTGACTGGCTGGGGCTCTTGTGCCGTTGGCAACGGCAAGCCGTGTTGGTGGCGGAGGACGGGAGGCAGCACAGCAGGAGGGCAAGAATGAGGATGGCGGCGTAGGTCACCACAGCGAGGTAGCTGGCGGGCATCGTGAGCCCACGTCTTTTCATTGATAGCTCGCAAGTAGGGCGACGTGGCGACCGGCGATGTGACTGTGATCCCAAAGGGCCCGAACCTCACGACGCATCTCGGAGACATAAGGTCAAACATTAACCGCCTCTGGGCGCTGTACATCGGGCCAATGCGCCACTCTGTCAACTAATTTCTCTGCCGGGACCCACTTAAACTGATTCAACGCGCACTTCTTGTTGTGGGTTCAATTGCAGCCGTTTTATCAATGGCATTGTGTCAGAAGTTGGAGAATGTACCACTGAGCCATATGTACAAAAGAGGGGACCCCTCATTTGCATGAGGCTATTCTGAGTACTTACGTAGTTCTGTCACATTGCCAGACAGTGTTTGTCCAGCTGGGTCTACTTCTTACTATGCGCGCTCGGCCTAAGAACACATCCCCAAACAGCCTTGAAGTCATCCCACCATCCTGAAAGAGGTCAAGCCATTACAGTTCTTCCTCCATCCCTGGTCAGTCGAGACCGAATCTTGACTCGCAGAGCTCGATGAGCCAGTCGCTGAAGCACAGTCTGTCCATCGTCCACCTTTTCCTGCCGGCCAAGCACCACACTCGGTGCAAAGACAAGAGCTTGTCCCGTATGCAGCGAAAGAATCATAGAGAATACCTTCATCATCGGGTCGTCGTCTCCAATAGTGACCGGATGCACGGCCTGGACCTCATCCTCTTCGTCAGCCGCTATAACTGACATCGATGAGATACCCGCCAGGTGGGCTTTCAGTGTGCGCAGCCAGTCAGGAGAGGTGAAGCGATGCACTATCGTCATAGAACAAAGGTCGAGGAGTTTTGTCGAAACCGTAGGTTCTTGAGTCGAGATGAGGACGCGGACGCCTAGATGACGCTGAAGACGGATAGTCTCAAGGAGGGAGTTAGTCAAGGTCTGGCTTTCCTCAGACTCCTTCATGTACTTGTGAGCTTCATCGAGAGCAACGACGCGGCCGATGGATGACTTCTGCTCAAGGAAGAGGGAAAGACAGATGTTGAAGAGCGAGCAGGCCAACTCCGCTGTCACGCAAGGGCAGGAGAGGTCGACGACAATAAGCTGGCCAGGCTGTAAATCAGACGGTTAGCTTAATCTTGATGGTTGTCGTGGGGAAGGGGGTCTTACCTTGGGTTGCCAGTCAATTTTCCCAGTTACGCCAGCAGTCTTTCCCTTGACCACAAAACCCTTGACCACGCCCTGACCCTTGACTACGCCCTTCTTCTTGGCAAAGAAGCTTTCAAGGGTATCGAGACGCTGGTTCAGAGGGTTCAGCTGGCCTGGAGTCAGTTCCTCCAAGGCTAAATACTTTCTGAACTTGTCATAGCTGAAGCCGAGTCCGGTACTCTGCTGCTCCAAGCGCATGTCTCGCAGGATACGGTTGACCACCTGCATATACAGAGGCTTAGAGTCGCTTTCCCCCACCGCCATGAGGTCGTTCATGCGACGAGTGTTTAGATCGTCATCACTTAGCTTCAGGGGCTTAATCTCAACATTCGGAATGCTGCTGTAGATACTCTGTGAGCTGTTAGAATCATGTAAGGTTGATCATAAGATATAGAACGGCGGAATACCTGAATGGTCCGGACGTTTGTCGGGGAACAGAGAACTCTGACTGACACGTTCTCGTGGGATGAGATGAACGCAGCCTCACATGGCAATCCGCCAGAGTCGGAGACGAAGCTGTCGTAATGGAAGACGATGCCCGTCAGGGGATAGGGCAACTTGCCAAGCTGACTGGGAATGAGGCAGTTCTCAAGGAGGCACGCGAGCGTATTGCTCTTCCCGGAGCCCTGGCTACCGCAGATGAAGACGCTCGAGGGGCATGTGACGTTGTGGAAGAGACGAGCTTCTGCCACGCAGGATGAATCTTCTGAGATGGCAGCGCCAAAGAGGCCGAATTGAGAGGGAGGCGATCTGTCGATGAGGGGGACAGTCAGAAGAGGACTGGAAAGGACCTCGTCCTGGTGCTGCTCTTGGGGCCTTAAGGCTAGGTGATTCATTTGAACAGCGAGATCGTCCAGGGGGTTAGCCTGCGCAAGGGAACCACCACAGCCAGAGGATGTGGGGGACAGAGTGCCTTGTTCTGAAGACATCTTGCTGGATTTGTACGTAAACAACTGTAAAGAGCTGAAGATGATGAAGGAATAGCTGAAGCTCTAGCATGAGAGTTTATATATATATATAGGCTGCCAGTATACCTCCGTTACTGGATCATAAGAACACATAAGTAAATTCCAGAAGAATGTCCTTAGTTGTAGATAAAAGGTGTAATAAAGCGTGAATCTGATATATATCCATTGAACAGAACAATGTAACTAGAATCTTCAACATAAAGGGAAGATATACTAATCCTCTAGTCTGCCTCTAGTGCGGTACACAGTTATGCATTAGCAAAGAAAAGAGATTTGAGTATTTCCTTTGCGATTTTTGAGACACATTTGATCAGTCACAGGGATACTTAAAGAACAGAAAGAGGATAAAGAGTACATCATCTTACTAAGCGCAAGGTGTTGGTGGTGATGTCTTTGATTCAAATAGCTGCCCTCTTTGACTTCGTTGGCCCTAAGATCAGAAGAATAGGATAAAACCTAGAAGAACCAGTTATGTGAAAGAGGTTATAGAACCTTTGAGTTGACGCGGAGCCACACGCCTGGTGGGGCATGGCAGACCTTCTATGACTGACTTTGGCTAGATTGGAGCTGCTCACTTGGCTCAGGCCTAGATATGCTGAAGCTAGAAAACTCTGTAAGTTTTCTCCTTAGCTGTTTGACTCTCCTCTTAAAGCCAGTGACTACGCTATCTCCTGAATGGGCTGCCGCTTAATGGCAATAAAGTTATGTACAAGTTAGTCACAGGGACAGGAATGGCATATAACTACAGCTGTTGAAAGAGTGTCTTGGACATAATGGGCAATTGGTAATGAGCAGCACACGCCACGCGGCCGATAGCTGTCCGCTGGATGGGGGTAAACGCCCCCCTTCTCAACGCAACGCTGTTGAGCTCATTTCCCATGTCCCTCCCCTACTCTCTGCGTGCCTTCATTGGCGAGCTCATGTTGACCATAAATATCCTTTCTCTCAGCTTTGCTAGCTGTGCTGCGAAGTTGCCTTCTCGCTCACACGACTACAGCGCTCGCAAAACACACCAAGACCGTTCTTACCAGTGGACTCCTGACACCTCACAGATCAAACGAGACTACCAGCGCAGCAATTAAAGGAGTCGACTGCGACAAAGACGCCTGTACGGCGAGAGTTTTAGGCATCTTCCCAGACATTAGCCTTCAATACCTGGAGATAGCCGCCGAGGTCAACCATAACCTCAGCTGAACCGTCGACACCATTTTGACTTCCTCCGGTGAAGGCGGATCGTACCCCAAGGCATTGTGCTAGAAAAGTCTCAAGCGGAAGCGTGAAGAATCGACCGAGGATGATGAGGAGGCAAACATCCTCCGCCCCTATGCTAACGCAAATGGAAAGTGGGGAACGTCAAAGCAATACGTCAATGAGTCATAAGTCTGATTCATTCCTTCCTGTCGGATTGGAAGTCCAATTCGGCTGCGAGTCAGGGCAGGAGCAGGGGCCAGCTCCTCGGCCCTCAATTACACCTCGACTGCCCACCCAACCTCCGGTTGGAATCTCCCTTTTACACGTTACGCAGAAGTTAATACAGTACAATTGACCTCTTCGTCAACCCACGGTTCGAACCAGTTACCCTGTGATAGGGATACCAACAGTGAACGTCGTGAGACTATTCGTTTTGCCCTTGCTAAGTGGCAAGCCTCACAATTGTCAATGTGTGGACTCTCAACACCGGCATCTTTGCATGCTTTGTTGAGATGCTGTAGAGCCTCCTTGTTTGGGTGTCCTAGTCTCTGATGCCAAAGATGACCCGTTGCATTGCTCTGAGCTCTTGGTTCCTTGCTTGACATGAAGAAGGAATTCCCAGACTGCTCTTGTGGGCGTTCAAGGTGATACTGTGAATTGGTTGATCATACTCTGTATATAGAGTTACCATCACCGTCCTCAAAGCATCGTTTTCTTGCTGAAAACCAAAGATCTTGTTCTTCTAGCTTGATGGTACTGATTAAAGTAGTGGATGCTTGTGGAATTAGGTATGCGTTGGGAATAGCAAGCTCTGATTCCACGTCTGTAGGGCTGAATGCTCTGACGATAAGAGAGCCCTTGGCAACTGCTTGAATCGGTCCGTTGGGTGTATCAAACGCCTTCTTGACTGGTTGAAGATGTCGGAATCGTGATCTGTCCCATGATAGAGGGTCAGAAGCGCCAGTATCGACGAGTACTGCGTTTCTAACTTCTTCTCCATCCGCAACGTGCTGACAGCTGCCGTTTGGTTCTTCCGGTGTAGAGACAGTGTCTGACCAGTCCGTATCGGAGTCTGAAGGTGTGATCGCTCGTATGTGGTGAGCTTTTCCGGTTGATGTGGTTGGCTGGGTCGAATATGGTGCTGAAAGGTTGTTGGTCTCGTTGTGCGTCTTAATCTTTTCTACTAGCCAGGGATTCTTGTTGAGATAGGCTGTAGCCTGGGCCTCCTTTGTAGGGTCAAGCTTGCGTCCTTCTGGCAGGAGTTGATGATTCAGATACCAGCACTCAACGTACCAGTGCTTCTTGCCATCAATATGACAAGTTGGAATTGTCTGCCCTGACATGCCCCTTGCTTGATTAGGTGGCGACATGCTGTCGGAGGTAGTAGCAGCCTTGGGAAAAGTCCGAGAAGATTGCTCCTCATTCTTCTGCTGCCAAGTCGCGTAGACTCCTCCTTTTGTAGTGTGGTCTTCACCATAGCCAGCTTCGAGCCAGGCTCTGAACTGATGAAGAATGGTAATGCCAGAGAGTCTATTTTCTGTGGCAACGTTGTCGACTGCTTCCTTGGTAGTTTCTCTAGCCAGCGGAGCAGCGAAGTCTGGGTAGACTGTCTTCAAGGTGGTGAGAAGGGTCACTTGTTGGTGTGTAACGCTCATCTCTTCGCAGCCAAGTCTGACAGCCTTTGTGAGGTAGGTCTCACACGTCTGGATCCAATCTGTGGTGTTGGACCGCTTGATTCGGATAAGATGATCTCGGTAGTTCTTATACGCTAAGATCTTCTCGGCCTCAGGAGTTCGTTGATACCTCTTCTTAAGGATCGTTAAGATTTCCCGTGGTGTGTCTGCTTCACCAAGCCATGATAGCATTGATGTTTCGACCGTGGTGGTCATGTCCCTCATTGTCTTCTGAAGGGCATGAATCCGTCTTTCGTGACGCTTCAGTTCTTCAGGGTAGATCCTGCTCTGTGCTTCGTATATTGAGAGCTGCTGGGCAGTTGGTTGATCTGGAAGAGTTGGTCGGATAGGCTCAATGGGTTGGGTTGTCTTATCTGGACCACAGAAATCCCAGACTCCATTGGCCTTGGCGTTCATCCTTATGAAGGTATACCAGTTGGACCAGTCCCCTTGTCCCTGAAGGTAGATTGAAGCATGTCGAGATGCCATGATGAAATAGCACTGTGGATGGTTTGATACTCGTGGAATGACTAGTTTCCTGCTTGGCTAATGTGAGGATAGTTCAGGAGTAATAGTGGCAGTTATGGAGCTATTCAGAGTCCATAGAGGCCGTACGAGTCTACTGGGCTCATAACTATCGAGCAGTAGTTAAACAGGCAGGGGTCATTGTATGTATATTGATGAGTATGACGAATGAATGGCTATGGGAAGAAACCTCATATCTATATAATGAGTGTACGATCTCCTTGTATAAGGATACCATTGCTAGCATTATTCATGCCTCTGGTTACGCATAAGTCAGGTTGCTTGAGGTGAAACAGTTACCGTAACGAATGTGCTGGGACAGTCTGACATCAATGATCGTGGGTCCTTGAGCAGATTCTCGACACGCATCTTAGTAAAGGCTAAGAACCACAGATCATCGTCTGGCAGCAGTTCGCATGCACCGGCAGCCAAGGCGATGACATCCAGCGCTAGCAACGCATCTGCAGACTTAGATATGTTCTCCTTGGCCAGCTCGGCCAAACCCGGAAGACCGTAGGCTTGGGCAGTAGCGTAGACGTGTACACTGGTTTTGAGATGGGTTGAAGCCTTGGAGTCTTGTATTGAATGCCTCTTGCAGATGGTTTGCCAAGTGCCAGTATTCAGGTAGTGCACGAGAACATGGCCGGCTTCGTCAGGCACATTCTTAACGTGGATATCGCTATTTAAGTTACCGCAGATCTTATCAAGCTCAGCACTCGTACGGATGAGGTCGCAAGGAATCATAAACAGGTGCCGGTTTTTAAAATAGTTTTTGCAGCTTAGGCTTGTATGGGGGCTTCAAGTAGACATTGGTCTTAATACTTACATATCAACAAGAAGAGGCTTACGACTCTTCTGGTCCAATATCCGTAGATGCAAACCGCCACGTGAACTGAGAACGAGCTTGACCGCGTACATCCGAGGTATCCTGCATAAGTGAGTTGTGCTCTCCCACAGCCAATGACGGCCACGACTTTCGGCAAATATCACTATGCATCCGGAAAGTCTTCCCGTCCACTAATACAACCTTGCTAACTTCCTGGTCGTTTTGTGTGCAAGCGTACTGGTTGGCCCACATTGCAGCTTCTGTAAAAGCGCTCTACCTGCATATTCTAATACGTGATTTGTTGCACGGCAAGAATCACATAGCCAAGCCAAATGTCTTTTTGGTCACATTTACACGCAAACTTATTGGGCGCGCGATGCCACTGATCAGGCCACTTTCCAAGAAGGGACGACTGAAGGCGACACTGGTCCGACAGGGCCAACTACCCCGCCCTTTCTTCCTTGGCATCACAAGCATTCCATATAACTACCTAATGACAACGACCTGCTCCAGCTTAGCCAACAAACTTTTATGGCTGATCGCCCTTCTCGCACACATTCACTTCCTTGTGTTCAACCGCAATTCTTGTGCAGCCATAATGGCCAAACAGAAATCCATCAAGCCCAAGACTGCGACTAGGACCTCCTTCAAGTATCCGTTTCTCCATAAAGCTGTATCAAATGCCGTGTCTAATGATCTTCCCTCGACGTGGTTCAACAAGAATGGCAGCAAGGAAAGCCCCAACAACGAATACTCAACCAACGTGATGGGTAAATTCAAATGCGATAACACGAGCTGTCCCAACATCACATGGACGAGCAAGAAGGTGGCAATCGTGATCAAAGGATACCACGGAAACGGGTATGACGCTGTTGTGTTCAACCAGCGCTGCATGTCCTGCAAGGAGCTCGGCAGTTTTACTCTCGATAAGCAATCTTATGTTGAACGAATCGCATACCGGCTTAAGAGGTGGGCGGGCGTAGAGATGGAGCAGCCGTTCTACGCTGGAAAAGAAGGTCCCCCACATCAGATAGATCTCTGTGAGGGTTGCAAGCGGGGTTACTGTCAGAGGCGAAATGATTTCGGGTTCTAACGTTACTTTGGCGGGTTGAGAATGGGAATCTTTTGAGGTTAGATGGTATTAATTGAGTATCCAGGGAAATGAAGTTTCCGGGATTGTTAAGCTCCTTGCCACTGGATCAATCGCATTGCAGCCAAGTAGGTAATTAATGTAACCAGCTGTGCACGGCCGAAGCGTGTGAGAAACCAACTGACCGACTTGCCTGCATTGTTGCGGTCGGGGATGGCGAGACACCTCTATCGTGGTATGACTTGCCCCGCGGCCCGCCAGCAGGGCGTCTCGCCTCGATCGCAGCTGCAGGAGGCCGGAAAGTCGCCCATAGTTTCGCGCCTATCCAGGCCTCGGTAATCAGCCTGGAAAACGAACAACCGTAGTCGATCAAGAGGCATGTTGGAACCACGTAGTTGGCCAACATCCAGCCGCTCCTGGTGGTGTTCCCTAGCGAGGGGTAATTATTATTGAAGGTGCTCAAGCTGATTTGCCATTGACTTATCAGACTTCACAGGCATTGTTTGCCTTAACAAGCTATTCGGTTATAAGCTACATTTACCCTTGCTGTCTAGGGTGACATGGAAGCAGTGGGCTTGCAGCCGGTGAATGCAGCTCTGATGCAGTGGGTCCACCGCTGCGACTATATCAGTGCCACGTCGTTGTACAAAGCTGCATGGCAGTCTACTGGCCTAACTACTTCATTCTACAAAGGCGTAATGCCAGGTATTTTTCTGAGGCCGATGCCGACATTGTTCCGAGATATGTTTCCTGTCTCATCTCCCGCCTTCATCCGCCGGGCGTTATCATAACGTTGCCAAAATGACTCCCTAGGCCACGGCAGCTACTGTACAAGCCGTTGAAGCAGGAGGTAGAGTGTGGCTGTCATGCTTGTTCGACTTGGACGGCCTCCCGCATGCCTCCGCAGCGGCTCAGCAGCAAAGTCCTGTTTTAGAAATGTAGGTTAGGAAGGTGAATTCACATTATATGACGCATTAATTTGTTGTATACTGCCGCCTCGCCACGAATCGACTTAGAACCGGACCGACTGGTTTACACGGGTATCCTGTATGTCCCCTTCCCGAGGCCCAGACGCCAGCCTGCTGCAGGAGAAACCGTGGCCAGACGCAAAAGATCGCAGGTGTAGCCAAATACTCCATAGACAGCCTTGCCCAAAACTAGTGGAGCGATGCGCGGTAGGGCAGAGACAGGGGCGCCTAACCACACTGTCAGTTGGCGCCCTGCATTCGTGACCATTCCTCACAGTTAGCAGATTCCAACCGTTGCGTTGCTGCAGGAGGCCATACTGCGGACGCCTTCTGAGCAGGCCCCAGTTCTCACTTCAGATAGATAAAACCGTTCTCTGCCTTCACCCGTTCCTCCTTTGATTTCTGCTCTATCCATCCAAAGACCACTTGTTCTATATCGTTCATCCCGTTGCAATGTCTCCTGAGCCTAGCAACAAGCACCCCCCCCTCCTGACGAGTGCGGGTCGGCTTCAGAAGATCGATCAACTCCGCGAAAAGAACATTGGAGCCTATCTACCTTTGCCACAACTTGTGGCCGTAGGCGATCAAAGCTCGGGGAAGTCATCGTTACTGGAGAGCCTGACGGGAATCCCCTTCCCTCGTGGCCAGGAGCTTTGCACCCGGTACGCTACCCAGATCACCCACCGCCGCGAGACACACCAACGAATCGACATCAACATCATTCCTGGACCACATGCCTCGCAGGACCACAAAAAGAAGCTCAAGCTGTACCACAGGCAGGTAAACACGACTACACAGCTCCGCACAGAGTTTCCCAACATCTTAGCACAGGTAACACTATCATGCATAAGTGGAATTAAGCCTTACATCTAACTACTGAACCAGGCTAACGCTCTCATGGACATCAAAACTATTGCCAACACAACTGGCGAAAACACCTTCTCTGAGGACGTGCTGAAAATTGAGAAATGCGGCCCAGGCGAGGATTATCTTACCATCATCGATGTGCCTGGTATCTTCCGCACGACTACCGAAGGTGTCACTACCAATAAGGACAAGGAACTTGTCAAGAAAATGGTCAAGAGGTATATCAAGGACAGTCGAACCATCATCCTTGCCGTCCTGCCCAGTAACGTCGACGTCGCCACCCAGGAGATACTGAGTCTTGCAGAGGAGGCCGACCCAGCCGGCGATCGGACCCTTGGGATCTTGACCAAGGCCGATCTGTTGACAGAACGGACCGCCAGACTCGCCGTGGTGAACTTGGTGGAAGGTAGTCGGAAGCCTCTCAAGCTTGGGTACCATGTGATCGCGAACCGCGGGGGTGACGACCACGGCGAAGAGGAAAATTCCTTGGCTGCTCTCCGCGAGCGTGAAACCATCTTCCTAGAACATCCCTGGGGCAACCTTCCGGAGGATCGTCTCGGTATATCTTCGCTGAGAGAACGGTTGGAGGAGCTACTTGGCGAGATCACCGATCGTGCGTTCCCTGAGCTCCGTAGCGAGACGCGCCAGAAACTGGCAAATGCCGAGAAGAAGCACAAAGATCTCGGCGCGCCTCGCCAGACAGAGCGTGAGCAACAACAATACCTCGTCAGCATTGCGAGCAACTTCCAGTCTCTGGTTCGTGCTGCGCTGGATGCTGACTATTCGGCGCATCCGGCATTTGACAGCAACCCGTTGCGGCTTATTACAGCCGTCATTAATACAACAGAGCAGTTCAACACTGATTTCGACAACTTTGCTCGCACGTATCTCTTCGAATCAGAGACGCAGGTTGAGGCCACGGTTCCAGTGGAAGTGGACACTCCAGCAAGCCCTATCTTTTACGAGGAGGATGACGAGAATGACGACAGCATTCTTCAGCTTGATACATTTGACATTCCTACTCCTGGGGCATACCCTGACTTGGACAGGATCATCATTACAGATTGGTCCATTGACCTTCCGAAAAACGGTATCATGAAGTGGATTGAGGCTGTCCACCGACGCTCCCGCGGCCTTGACCTGGGCTCTCTCGGTCATGGTGTTCTTCCAAGTGTTTTCCGGGAGCAATCGGCGAAGTGGGAGATGATCGCGAAGCAATACCTCAGCAAGATTATCCTCCTCGTTCATCGCTTCATCCTGACGGCACTAAAGGTCGTCTGTGTAGACACGCAGGTGCTCCAGGACGTCTCATCTGCCATTCTGGGCGACCTCTGCGCCAAGTACGAGGGTGGCATGAACCAGGCGACCTTGCTGGTCAATGTTGAGCGGCAGCTAAAGCCGTATACACTAAACCACTACTTTAACCTTAATCAACAGAGGAGTCACGGCGTGCGGATCCAGGAAACGTTGCGGCCTAAGGCCCGACACGAAGAGCCTGCCAAGGGCTGGGGCAAAATCCTTGTCATCAATCTGAGTGATGTTGCAGATGCAGTTACGAACAAGAGCAACACAGCACACGCCACAGAGACCATCCACGACACCCTCGAGGCCTACTACAAGGTAGCTTACAAGCGGTTCGTCGACAATGTCTTCAGCCAGGCGGTCGACTACAAGCTGCTTTCTGGCCCTGAAAGCCCCCTTCGGCTGTTTTCGGAGCAATGGGTCCTGTGCCTGGACCCGAAGAAATTGCTTGTTGTGGCGGGGGAGTCTCGCCGGACGAGGGAGCGTAGGGAGAGACTGAAGAAGGAGATTCAGGACTTAGAGGTTGCGATGGAGATCCTGTGTGGATAGGCACTTCGCACGTTCATTAGGAGTTTGGCCGTCACATATGGTAGAATTAACCAGCATCTTGCTACATACTATTAACGGTCATCAGCGTGCCTTTGTGGCTACTAGTGTTCAGCTATAGGGCGGATTGGTCTAACTGAGACAAGGTTTCCTGCCTGGCAACTTGCATTTAAAGTCAGGAATTCCCTTTATGTTTTCTCCGTACCTTCGTTGCCTACCTCACATCCACTAACAATGGCCACTCCTTGCATTTCACAGCGGTGCGGCCTCTCTGGCTTCAAACTTCAGGATAACGACATTATCGTTGCTAGTGAGCCCATCCCGCCTTGATTCTCTGACCCCTTCCCCAAAACTTCCTTTCCTCATTCATCGCTTCGCCACTGACAATCGGAGTAGTGATGCAAAATGGGCAGCAATCGGTGATGATGCCTAATACTCGATCGAAGCTTGAAGATTATGGTTTCATCGAGTGCGTTGGGGCATGCCCTCATCTTGGTGGGCAAGCAACAGGCTGTCACAAGGAGTGTACTAATCAGGTACACTCACCATTACGAGAATCGCTCCTCAAGGCATTGGCGTACCGATACGAACCGACACCGACCGAGGCCGCCACGCGTATGAAATGGCTACACCAACATGTCTCATCATCACCGATCTTAAGACTAGTGAAACCGCGCTTACCCGAAGAACTTCGTTGCCGAATCGCAAAGTATCTTCTGGAGGGCTCTTCTCTGCACCGCTACGCCGTGGCATACGCTCAGGTTCTGGCAAAAAAGGCGACAAACGTTGTCCCTCCCATCAGCGTCGTGGCCAAGATCTGGGCCCGTTTCGTCGACTTCGAAGGCACTCGCTATGTATCGTCTTTGAGTAATTCGTGCGACGAAGGTCATACGGAGAGAATGTTCGCGCCTGACGCTTCTCGGCGCGTGAAATCCGTGCATATCGCTGAGAATTATCTCGGTGTGATGCAGTTGCTTTTCTGTTACTCCGAGCAGCCTCCAGCCGTGGAGAGTTGCCAGGGCCTCTGGTGGAGAGTCATTCGACTTTATGATGGCCCGATGCTTCTCACATCCACTGACGTAAGTGAATATGTTCTTCCCCAATAGGTTCATACTGATGAGTCGTAGGGTGTAAAGTTGCGTGACGTTGTCTCAAGAGATACGGACACGAACTTGCATCTAAAGTACCTGTGGTCTACTCCTCCATCAGAGCCCATTCGATTGGTTCAACTAAGTCCAATTCCGCCATCAGCTCAACTCTCAGATCTAGTGTGCAACGGACCGCGTGTGACTGCGTATTCAGTTTATTGGAACTGCCGGATTGTGTATCTACATGCCCATGCCGAAGGAGAAGATCTTGCGTTCTATAATGGCTATGACGATGGAATCTGGGTGTATTGTCCTCTTGAGCAGGGAGAGAAGGTATCCGAAATCTGGAAGTACAGTCAATTCAAGCGAGGCTGTGTTCTGATCGTGAGCTAAGGAGCGATGCAAGATAACAAGAGAAACTAGCTAATATCTTTATAGTTCAAAACGACGCATAACCGTGTTGCTTATTTCGGTCCTCAACCTAAGTTGCAGCCATTTCCTGTGCCAAACTTGATCGATCTTCCCCGTCAAGATGGAGGAAGCCGGCTATTCTTCGAGCACTCTCCGCTGGGGGTACGCATGCTAGCCTTCGAAACTCCTATACCGACACCTGCTTCGTATTCACTCGCTCTTCCCACACCATCATCTCAACATCCAAAGTCAACTTTCTTCGAGCCCTACTTCTACTCTACAGCGTCCTTAGATGGTGTTGTTAGAATTGTGCCATGTCAGCGCTATGTACGAAGCATGCTGCGTATTACAGGACTGCTTCTTCAGTTTTCTGAGGGCCGGCAGTGCTGCCTTGGTCAGGTTCGACTCGACAGCTTGGGCAGTCCATTCCAAGCAAGTAGCCATCAAGCCGTATGGCTCATTTTCTCCAAGGATGACAACAGGCCGTTCGTGTCTGCCTTGGAACTTTCAGAACCTGAAGACAAAAAAGGCCCCTGCTGTCTTGAAATACAAGTTCGTGGCCAATTGGATTGGTGGTTTTCCTCGAGGCAATGCCAAGTGTGCTACCAGGACAAATCGAGTCCACCAACTAGACTATGACTCAAATACAATCGGTGCAATGAAATGATTCCGGGACCTTTGTTGTTCACGGAATTACATCTCATATCATGCAGTATAAGAAACGGTTGATGGTTGGCTCTGGGCATTTAATGCGCAAATCTCAATACCAACGTTTCAGATCGGTCTCTAGAGCGCTTACCAGGTACACCCCGGCCAACGTACTTCTCGTTGAGCAGTGACGTCAGGGAGTTGTCGGACGCACTGCCTACGCCGAATACCTTTCAAGACACGCTTGCTGCTCCCGATGAGGAAAGACTATCCGCTTAGGTTTGACAAGTTGGGGAGCATATGCCATGTACGTACGGCGGGCGACCTGAGTCACATCTTGAGCCACAGGACAACCTTGTCGATCAGGACAACCGACATTGGAATAAACCGAGTAGCGCAGAGCTAGCCTGCCAAGATAGAGCCAGCCAATGTATGCTAGCACACAGGTGCTAGCATCTATGTGCAAACATAGAAGCCCGCACATATGCTGGCAGCGCCTACTTTGTGTGCTATCTATGCCAGCGTCTGTATGCCATCACCTGTGTGCTAGCATATGTGCGCCAGCGTCTGTGCAAACAGAGGATCCCACACAGATGCTGGCAGCGCTTATCTGACGTGCTCTCTGTTTGTCAGTGTGGGAACAAACGGCAATCGCTAGGTATCCCATCGAGTGCTGCAAGGCGACAGTACATTGAGATGCGGGGGAGCAGCCAATCGGGCCACTTCGGGCCCCTTTTTCCAACCAACCAACGTAATTGATAATAGATACTTCCAATTACTAGAGATTCTGCGTATGAAATCGGTACCAGCAATCTTCTGAGTTACAGAGAGCTACATCGCACTCGAGGCAGCCCATCCTCGTGTACTTCCCAGGGATACCGGGCTCAACCTCCGGAGGCTCGCGGGGCCGAACAGTGGCATTATCACATTGCTCCGGCGTACAGTCGGCAGTGCAGGCGGCGGCGAGGTCCTCGGGCAGCAGGGCAAAGATACACGACTTCGCCGAGCCCGTGGAACGGCCAGATCCGTCAGAATCGTCAGAATCCATTAATTGAGTATTGGTAATGATGGATTTGGTAGATGTACCGGAGTGGAAATCATAGGGGCAACTCAAGCAGTGGATGTACCAGATGCGGTGCGGGGTAAAAGGGGGCCCGTTATGTGGAGCCAATGTACTGTCGCCTTGCAGCACTCGATGGGATACACGGAGCCGAGCTATGTCACGTGTCTTCGGCACGTGACACACCTCAGCTCCCTCCTTCCATATCACGAGCCTTCGCGTTTAGATACTCTCCTTAATACCTCCGCCAACGTATGGCCAAAGCAAGTATTGATTTCTTGTTAGGTTCTGCTAAGGGAGCCTCTCTTCTATGCGAATGGATAGAGGAGACCAATTTCTTTTCCGAAATTTGCCCGAGTCGTTGAACAGGAACGTTAGGTGAAGACGGTAGCCTGTAATATAGTTTAGATTAGTATAGACCATGTCGGCATAGCGCCCGGCACGTCCTTTTGTTACCAGACGTTAAATACATCATCATCATCATCATCAGATACTCTCCTTAAGAACAATAACAACAACAAGAACACCAGATTAACCCAACGATATTGCTACCGATCGCGATACCAGGAATACCTGTGTGACTAACCTGTGGTACACGCAAGCCAACAGTCAGCATCTTTGTGCTAGCAACTATATGCTGGCATCTGTAAGCTGGCATCTGTGTGGTGGCATCTGTCTTCTCAGTGCCCACCACCTGTTTTCCTGGCGGTGTTCACACTTCCCTGCGTCCCCTTTTGGCGCCATCTTCTTTGTGGTAATTGTTTGGACCCTCCGCTCTCTGTTCTCGTTGAAGTAATGAATCACTGAGTGCGCATCGTCTTCTGAATTCACCAACGATCTGGGGTACTGTAATGTGGATGGGAAACAGATCTGCCCGCGGCTTGGTGTCGCCAGAATTACGCCCTCTGGATTCAGAAATCCGTACCAATCACAGTGCATGGCTGTTGCAGTCGTCGTGGTTATGCATGCTGCAGCTACAGGAGGCCAACTAAGCTCCTATCGCGAACGCGAATATTATTGGGCCACACGTCTTTACACTGCGGGCGTTTCGCTTTCCACGACCAAGCTCGAAGCAATCCTCGACGCACTCTGGACTGGAGGGGTTGGCGGCAGGCTTGCTATTCGACATGCCCACATGTCATTTTTGCAGTTGCTTGAAATGTTATCACTCCTGTGCTACCACCATACAATTCCAGTGATGAATTTTGCCTGCATTACCTGCCTTCAAACATGGCCTTCTTGGAGGTCTCGCGATCAGCATGTGGCTGCCAAGTCCCACCGGGCTCCTCAGTTCGAATGCGACACATGCGACCGTTATTGCAAAAGCCAACAAGCCATTGAGCAGCACATGACTGCGCTGAACCACTGGGCGGATTCATCTTCCGACGGACCCGAATACTACTGCGACTACGACTCTTGCTCTGAGGTTTTAGATGACGAGGATGCACTTAGGGAGCATGAGTGGGGAAACACTTTTACTGCGATCCATGCGACCGAACATTCCAAGACTTCAACAGCATCAAGATGGTTCGTAACTAAACCACAGATCACAAAACCGGCCTAACTTGTGTAGCATCGCAACAGCAAAGTGCATCGGGGTAAAAACGCATCCTGTCTTTTTTGCCACAGTTTATACGTGACGGTGGCTGGCGTTTTTCATCACCTGGAGCAGGGGGGATGCGAAAAAGCGCCGTTGACTCGACTTGGAGTTTATCAAGTGGTCAAAAGGCGTGATCCAAACTGCGTGCTTGCGAAACGACTGCTAGAGTGGACTGTGCAGGTTAGCTTGGAAGCCACTGCAGAATCTTGGGATCCCGTCACTGAGACCTTGAACTGCTCCCTGTGCAGCGGTCGCTTTGCAGACCTGGAGTCGTTAAATCAACACCTCAAATCGCCCAAACACCAACAGAACCTCTATCACTGCCCGAAACCCGGCTGTCGTAGGGAGTTCAGCACTTTAGCAGCCGTAACTTCGCATCTGGAGAGTGAAAGTTGCAATTTCATGACCTTCGAGGCTGTTCAGGAGACTGCGGCACGAATCTTCAACCCCGGACGCATGATCAGCCTTTAGACAGGCTTGTGTTTGGAGAGAAAATATAGTAATGAGTCAATATCGACTGCGAAACGGGATGAGGTGGGACATCGACGTGCTTGAGTATCGGCAACGATGAGGAGCAGCCTCTAGACGGGGAGCTTCGAGCCATCTAGAAAGTGTGTCGAGCGTGGAAGAGGCTTCGAAAGTGGTTCCACCCTTCGTTCATGCTTTCGATCAAGTAATCGAGCTCCGTGGCGCCGTGGGTAGCAGTGAGCTCTGAAGAGGGGACGACCAGTAGACTTAGATCTCGAATAACGCCAACTTCGTTTCTGTCTGCAACCTTGCGACAGGTGGACTCTAAGATGTCATCGCAAAACAGATAAATGTGTGGCAAAGTCTGTGTGACGGTTTTGCTTGCCTCTCTTGGGAGGACTTTGACCATGAAGCTTCCTTTGGTTCCAAGTACGTTTTTGTATCGCGGGTTACGATATGGAGCAGTCTTCTTTTCTCTCGGCCTCTGGTCGCCAGGCGTTGCCAAGCTAGCAGAACCAGATGCTGATCGCTTGCGACTGAGAGTTGAGGAAGATTTCTTCCTCGCAAGAAGACTCTCCATGCTCCAGTCCTACTCAAAGTATTGCCGCAGCCGCGTCCCTTTCTAGTGCAGTATAATATCGAATCGGTCGTCTCTTCTCCGCGGCGGCGAGAAGTCCGTCGTGATCTCTTCAAAGGGCGCTCCTCCGTGGATGAGCTGGGGGCATCCGGTCGTTGGCGCCGTTTGCAACAACCCTCTAAATGGCGTGTATGAGCCTCAGACGATGCTTTCGCCGAGACTGGTGCGGCGGTCAGCGTCAGCGCCGGGTTGAAACAAGGTTTCTTCGAGATTGAGGAGGATTCAATCCGTCGTGTCGTGAGATGCGATGGACGCTCGTTTGACGACGGCTCTTGTCGACGCGGTTTTGGAACTGGTTGCCTGCTAATGGTCAGTTGCGCATAGCTCTAGACAGCAAACAGCTGCTATCTTGACGTTGGGCCACTGGAGTAGAGAAATCGTCCTTTTCGGCGCGCAAATTCGATCGAGTGCAAGCCATCGCAGTGAGGCAGAAGCGGGATGCTTGAGATTATGATTGAGGCAGAAGTAGGAAAAGTGGTTGAGAAAAACATGTGTCGTGGTAGGTGTGTGGCCGAGTGCTGAATGGCAACAGTACATCCAGTGAGGGGTAATAGCCACTCAGAGACCAGCCAAGCCTTTTTCCAACCAATCAAAAGGCCTAGTCTTCTAGTACCTCTTCCGTCTATATATTCTGGTTATGAAATAGGTACCAGCAATCTTCTGAGTTACAAATCGCAACCCCACACTGCTCACACCCTGACCTCGTCTTCTTCCTATGGGATCGTGAGTTTCCTGAGACTTCGCTAAGCGCCTTCTTTGGCCGATTACACGCAACGCAGGCGGAGGCGCTCTTCCGCGAGACCCTTATATGCTGTTGCCACGGAACAGAGTTATTTCTCGTATTGTCGGCTTCCGCTCGGGTACGTTGAAGGGGTTGAATACGCTGCCCCTTTCGAGGGATGGGGGCTCATATGGGCGTACGACCGCATTATCGCATCTCTCGGGTGTACAGTCAGCAGTACAGGCAGCGGCTAGGTCTTCGGGAAGTACGGCGACGTTGATACACGACCGTACCGACCCCTCGGAATCGCTAGAAGTCATCGCGACGTTTCATCACATAGGAAAATGTCGGTCTTGGTGGTGAAAATAGGGAGGAACCCATAGGGGTAAATGACGTACCGTCATGTATCGCTGTTGTGAGGGGGAGAAGTGGGTAATAATTGGGGGGGGGATGTACTGTTGCCATTCAGCACTCGATGGGATATGATTGGCTCCCAATGCACCCGCCTGATAAAGTCGGTATTAGCGCGGTGGGATGTCTCCACGCAGTCATTTGCGTGCGACTCAAAGCGGCAGTTTGGTGACGGAATTCACCCAAGTCAACACGGACTCAACCAAACATGAGTGCTATGCGTGAGTGATTAAGGCCAGCGTGGGATTATTGAGCTATGCGGGTCGTAAGAACATTTATCGTCAGGAAGGTGATGCCCTAAAATAGGCTGATCGTGGGTCTGGACTGTGGGCGGATCGTCCAATGGAACTTCGAACCGACTGATCAGCTTTCAGCCTTTCCTGGCGCATGAGATTGAGATGATGGCCAACTAAGCGGCGGCAACGGTATTTTGAATGCACGGAAATGCTTAAGGTTCTGAGTCATGAGGGAGGAGACGTTAAAGGACCTTCAGTGGCTGCATATCAGGCTAGCCTTCTTCTGATGCAAACGGCCTGAGAAGAGATCCTTTGACAATTGTAAGGGCGTGAATTCCAAGAGATCTGAAGGAACTGGGTGTGTGATGATCCGTAGGGTCAGGTCTAGACGTAACGCGGAGAAGAGGGAAGAGAGATCGCACTATGCAGGCGGTGCGTCGCCGCAAGAAAAGGGGTTATGGTGAAGCTAAGACTCGCCATACCTGTCGGATTGGAAGTCCAATTCGGCCGCGAGTAGGGGCAGAGCATGGGCCACCTCGAGGGGGTACACTTAGACCTCGACTACCCACCCAACCTCCGGTTGGAATCTCCCTTCTACTCCTTACGCAGAATCAATCAATACAGAGATATTGATACAGTTACAGTAGTCAGCGAAAAGGGCTTCATCCTTTTTACAACTCTCTGATCTCTTTCCGCACGGACATCCAAAGTTCTTAGCGCTTATACAGTACGATTTGTTATCATATCATTTGAAGTACATCCAACAGTCCAAATAGGCTGACCCCACTTGCAGTTCTGTTTGGCTTCTATTCGCAGAAAATCCACTTGTGCAGAGGTCCCGCTGTAATGCACGTACTGCACCGGATTACGATTAATAGATGCTGGTCTGGGGGAAGGGCGTTTATTGGCTCAGTAATGATTATTATGGCTCTACTGTAAGTAGTATGTAAGATAGTCTTAAGCGTGTCTAGCGCCTCTTCAGATGTCCCTTCAATGTCTTCCATTTGGCTTTCAGCCCTCGTCCTGGCTTCTGTACGCGAAGCGAAACATCCATCTCTTGTATAACAAGCTGCAATGAGCCTATTTTCTCAGACAAATATGTACACCGTTCGTTCTGTGACCCTAGTACGGATAAGAAGCCGTTCTGTGCTTTTGAGTAGTATGAGATAGCTTTGCTATTCTCGCCAAGCATCTCAAACAAAGAGCCGAGATTTTGAAGTGCGTTCAAGGCAGGAATATAGGTCTTTATGGCGTCTGCTCCAAGTGCCTTCTCGTAGCCTTGAAGAGCCCGCTCGTACATGGCCTCGGCCTCTTTGAGTCGGCCCTGGTTCTTGTAGAGTTTGCCTAGATTGTGGACCGTCGACAGTGTTGACGTGTGGTCTGGCCCTAGTGCCTTCTCCTTGCCTTGAAGAGCCCGCTCGTACATGGCCTCGGCCTCTTTGAGTCGGCCCTGGTCCGAGTAGAGGTTGCCTAGATTGTGGACCGTCTCGAGTGTTGACGTGTGGTCTGTTCCCCATGCCTTCTCCTTGCCTTGAAGAGCCCGCTCGTACATGGCCTCGGCCTCTTTGAGTCGGCCCTGGTTCTTGTAGAGGTTGCCTAGATTGTGGACCGTCGACAGTGTTGACGTGTGGTCTGGCCCTAGTGCCTTCTCCTTGCCTTGAAGAGCCCGCTCGTACATGGCCTCGGCCTCTTTGAGTCGGCCCTGGTTCTTGTAGAGGATGCCTAGACATTCGACTGAGTCGAGTGTTGACGTGTGGTCTGGCCCTAGTGCCTTCTCCTTGCCTTGAAGAGCCCGCTCGTACATGGCCTCGGCCTCTTTGAGTCGGCCCTGGTTCTTGTAGAGGTTGCCTAGATTGTGGACCGTCGACAGTGTTGACGTGTGGTCTGGCCCTAGTGCCTTCTCCTTGCCTTGAAGAGCCCGCTCGTACATGGCCTCGGCCTCTTTGAGTCGGCCCTGGTTCTTGTAGAGGATGCCTAGACATTCGACTGAGTCGAGTGTTGACGTGTGGTCTGGCCCTAGTGCCTTCTCCTTGCCTTGAAGAGCCCGCTCGTACATGGCCTCGGCCTCTTTGAGTCGGCCCTGGTTCTTGTAGAGGTTGCCTAGATTGTGGACCGTCGACAGTGTTGACGTGTGGTCTGGCCCTAGTGCCTTCTCCTTGCCTTGAAGAGCCCGCTCGTACATGGCCTCGGCCTCTTTGAGTCGGCCCTGGTTCTTGTAGAGGATGCCTAGACATTCGACTGAGTCGAGTGTTGACGTGTGGTCTGGCCCTAGTGCCTTCTCCTTGCCTTGAAGAGCCCGCTCGTACATGGCCTCGGCCTCTTTGAGTCGGCCCTGGTTCTTGTAGAGGTTGCCTAGATTGTGGACCGTCGACAGTGTTGACGTGTGGTCTGGCCCTAGTGCCTTCTCCTTGCCTTGAAGAGCCCGCTCGTACATGGCCTCGGCCTCTTTGAGTCGGCCCTGGTTCTTGTAGAGGATGCCTAGATTGTGGACCGTCGACAGTGTTGACGTGTGGTCTGGCCCTAGTGCCTTCTCCTTGCCTTGAAGAGCCCGCTCGTACATGGCCTCGGCCTCTTTGAGTCGGCCCTGGTTCGAGTAAAGGTTGCCTAGTTCGTGAAACATCCATGCATCTTTTTCCTCCGCCGCATCTGTCGCTATCTTTGTGATGCATCGGTCTGAATGTTGTAAAAGTCGTCTTTGTACTATCCAATACTCTTGCTGCTCCTTGCTTGGGACATGTGATGCTACACACCTCAATGCTGTCCAAGCCATCTCCTCGTCGACTCCCGTGTTCAGCACGTGTATCATCCACGCATGGACACATCCATGCACACTGTATCCTCGGGACTCTCCCTTAGTCTCTTTTATAGTAAGGTCCGCCTCTACTAGTCCATGTTCGCAAAGAAGTCTCATTGTTGTGTTGAAGATTAAGTTGTCTTTCGTTATGTCTTGTAGCCAAACCGGCCCCTCTGAACCCATATCCTGCAGCAGTTCGTACCATAGGTCCTCGTTATCGAAGTATGCCCAAAGTCGAAGGAGGGTAGCTGCACCTCTGCTTTGCTGCTGAATGAGGTTGAATGAGATACCCCACGTCGAGTATAACGCTTGATCGTAATCCAGAAGCTGTGGACTCTCTCTCTGTAATCGCAGCCATGATTCGTCGTACAGCCGGAGATACTCAGCGCAGCTCGTCGACACTTGGTTGAGGTACGCTCCAGCCGTCGACAGGGCAAGCGGAAGGCCGTCAAGTCGCCGCGCAAGCGTATAAGCATCAGGATCTATTTCGATGAATCAGCCCCACCTACGCTGCTCACTCGAAACACTTACTCTGGCTCAGATGGGCACGATTGGATGTTGACTCCAGTATAGCCAAGCTGCCATTGACGTCGCCTAGCTTACTCAGCCGGATCAACTGCCCGAGTTTCACTGTTGAGGATCGGGTTGTGATGATGATGGCGCCGTGGTCGGTTTCAGGGAAGTACGGACGGATATCGTACGCCTTTGAATATGCTGCCTCCGGTTGGCTTGTGTTGCCAGATGCAGTCCCACCCTGCTCCGCAACAGATTGGGCACTTTGACCCGCATCGCCGCGGCGGTCAAATCTGACATCGTCGTAGTTATCGTAGACAACGAGCCAGCGGTCGTTCCTCGCTTCACCCAGCCATCGCTTGACTGCTTCCGTCGTCTCGTCAAGGTCCTGATTGACCATGGCATTTTGTACATACGCCATAGTCGGGTGTTCCCGCAAGATTCGCTGCGCCGCTTGTTGTAAGCTTTGCTTCAGTGATGTCTCGTCCCTTGCGTTCAGCCAAAGCATGGCCGAGTAGTCGCTGCGATGCCGCTTCGTATACTCTATCGATAACTGAGTTTTTCCCATGCCACCTAGACCCTGTAGCACGGCGGTGCGGCGCTCACCCGTCCATTTCAGCGCCTCATACAGACATCCAAGTTCGTCGTCTCTACCAACAAAGCGACTCACCCCTACAACGCCTGACAAAACAGGGGCAAGCGTATACATGGTAGGAGTAGGGTCGGCTAAATTAACATCAGTCAGCATGCGTTAGCAGCAGCTAAGGGCTTAGGATTTGGTCACGTACAGATTGTCCTGGGAATCCTGCAAACGTAGCGCTCCATCAGCGCCTTTGTCGCTGAGGCCGCCATTGCAGCGGCGAAGTCCTGCCATAACTTGTTTTTGTGACTGTCGGCGTAGTCACATACCCCCTTAACAATAACACACGGGATCTCCTCCCAAACGCCCGCCCCCTCCATCTCAAAGGCGATAATGTTATGCTCTTGAGCAACCCTGTCCCGGTGTTCGCCTGATTTCATCACCGTATCACCTGAGCCGATGCGCCCAACATGTATTCGCGACTCGAACATCGTAGACTCTAGTCGTGTTCTTACTACTTGATGTGCAACATCGCATCCAAGCTCGTCGCACGACGCTTTAATCGCTTCGTCACACGCAGTAGATTCGCTACAGCCACAGCCTAGCTGATCTCGGTGTCTGTGAAGATAATCCGGCTTAAAAAGTGAGTCCTTCTCGGCTGCAGGACGATCGTAGTAGATTCGGTCTTGTGCGTTAATGGCCATCTGTTGGACTTGCGTAAGGACTTTGGTGATCCGGCGCTGTAAGTCGTTCCGGCCATGTTGCGTCTCGTAGGTGGTGAGAAAAGAACGCACGTCTTTGTTGAGTCGGCTCAGGTTGTCTTCAACACCGTCTTTCCTGCGAAACTTGCCAGGGTATTGTCGGCCTAGGTCATACTGCACGATGCTTTTGCCGATCACCACGTCCCCAAGCAGCACCTCATGATCGGTCCCCGGGCTAGGCACTCCCCCACAGATCCCAGTCAAGAAGGCTACCTCCAGCCCAACATAGATGGACCGGAGCCGGACTACCTCGTTGGCTGCGCTGACTTTTCCCATGTTGGGGAGAAGAACCAAAACAACATAATGAACTCCAATCAACCCCAGCGTGTGATTGTTGTATTGCCTGGGCGCGGACCCGCGCCCATCTCTATCATCGTTCCATATCTCGTCGAAAGCCTGGATGACGGCATCGTATTCGCGGGGCAGTGCGCATATCACGGCGATACGGAAGTCCTCGAAACGGCGTGGTTGAGGGTAGCTCGTCATCGCAAGTTGTCGAATGCAAGTGAATGTCGGGCCTCGTCGGGGTCGGGGTGTATCATATCATGTCGTCGTCAAAACTTGTAAGACTTCATCGCGTGTAATGAGCTTAAACAACAACAATTCTCGGGAAGTGACGGTAAACAGTAGCTATCGGGTAAGTTGGGCGATGGTCCTTACGACGTGGAAAGGCCTGCGGTTGGAGGGGCTGAAGCATCGGTAATATTAAATGTTTAATGGGAAAGCCATCCAAAGAAACGGACAGCGGAAATACTCCTAGCCGTAAGAACGTTCATCCGATGCTCAATTGCGCTACTCTACTTTGGCCTTAGTTTAAGTGAACCAGACCAGCAGAATTAATCCTCCAACGGAGGGCGTTACATTCGCATCGAATCTTCTAGAAGCTGACCTTAAGTCGGTTTCTGAACTATGGATCTGTTGTCAACCCTCCTGTCTGCAACACACATCTTCCTGCCAGCCATGGCGCCTAACCTCTAGGACACGACGAACTGTAGTAGAGTTCATAGAAAACGCCATAGAAAATAATTATGGGGCGTGAATACTAGGGTGTAGAGTTGATAGAGATTATAGGGGTAGAGTTGGTAGAGGTTTCCTTAGCTAAAATAGACGATATAGATATGCATCGAAAGCTGGCAATCAGGCGAGTTCAGAACTTATCTTATCTTTATTCATAACCCAATATTTATCTCTATTTGTATAGATTCGTATTTGCCGATTTGATGGGGTGAAGATGGCTCGTGCATCAGTGCACCAATCAACGCTAGAGCTATCATTACATAACCTTGCTATGCTCACTGAGGCAGCACCCAATCATAGTATTTCTACCTAGCGTTTCCTTTGTGGTAAGCAGTTTAGTATAGTTAAACGAGATAAGGAATGCGCTGCAGCTACCGAATGAGGAGATAGCGCCCATGTCCAGTTTAATGCTGTGGTTAAGATAGTTGCCCGTCCAACAGCATCTTAACTCAACCACAGTCAACATCAATCCACCAATATGTAAGACTAACACCACTTATCTCGGTAGTAGCCCACAACTACCACGGCCCAAGACTATCGTAATTACGCTAGTAATGGAGCCGTTTATCTTTTATGAAGAGTATGCACTCGCTATTTGTAAAACATGTCAGTTTGCTGTGGTTAGTGACGAGTTAGCCACCCACCTACGGACACGCCACCGCCATATCCCACCGTCGACCCGTAGTAGCATCGTCAAGGCCATCTCTAGTATAATGGGCATACGTACGAACCAGGCCAGTCTTGCGCAGCTGCAGTATCCCGACCCATCAACAGCCCCCATCGACCATCTTGCCGACCCACGCACGGACGGTATCCGATGTCACCGATGCTCCTATGTTTGTCGCCAAACTTAAAGGATCCAGGATCACTGCCGAAGATATCACGGGTGGGTAAACGACTGGAAGAAGGGCGGTAACGTAAGGGCGAGATCTTGTTAGGAACGTAGTATACCGTGGACGTCCGGTATACTATGCTAGCGGTTCTTCCCGTTATGGGCTGGGAGCTAATGGTTTGAGGTAGGGCGTGGCCAACCGCTAGACTAAGCGCCGGAGGCGGTCGCCGAGGAGGTAGCGTCACGGTAGGCCACCGAGCTACTCCGTTAATTACGGTAGAACCAAGCCGAGCAGGTTAAGGCGAGCCATGACGATCTCATCCGTGCTACCAACGACAAGCTCGAGCCGAACCCGTGGCTCTAGCGGGTGGGATGGGCAGAGCATCTGAGTGGACTACGCATCAGCCAGCTCTACGAAACCACCGGCCCAATCCAGGAGGCCGTGGAGGACGTGCTCCATGTGATATGGACTTCGGTCAACGAGGTCTTGGAGTACGCCAGGGCCATATCCACGCCCAATAAGGTCGGGCACGCTGTACTATTCGAGGTCCAGCGGAAGGAAGTATATATTAAGCCCACGAGGCCGTTTAATAACCGTATTGAGGAGGATACTTGGGTACGGTATAAAGATGTCTGGAGGGTCTTGTTTTGTGTGTGGTTCCGGACGCAGGAGCTACCGGACGACGGGAGACCGCCGTACCGGCTTACCGAGAGGTAGTACGACGCGTGGGACGAGTTCGAATAATTGGCTAAGGCCGTGGTGGAAGGGGACTCCGATACTACGTCGGATACGCTCCGGCCGGCAGCACTCGAGATGCTCGTTAGTATGCTGGACCACTAGCTTAAGAGAGGGCAGTACGAGAACGCGATAGTGAGCGCGCTCGCTGTAATAGGCATCCGGGCCGATGGTGGCTGGATGGATATTACCGACTATATAATAAAGTATTCGGCGATCATTAAAGTAGCACGTATGTTAGTCGTTTATAAGGCATATACGCAGAGGCAATACGATGTCGCTCGTCAGGCCGCTACGACGGACGAGGGGGCGGCCGATGATGGCATAGAGAGTCTCTTTGTCTACGTCCGTCGCATGGTACAGAGGTTCATGACGCGTACGCCCGGGGCCCCCCAAGCCGAGCCAACACCGATGGATTGGATTCTCGAGACGCGGACGTATGGCATGCACATACAGTATAACACGCCGGCAGACGGCGTAATCGACTGGGTAGGCGACCGCATATCGTATCGGCGCGTACGGTTTACCATGGACCAGTTATCGGACATGCTCCACGGCGTCGTCGACGAGGCCAGGCTGCTATTAGCGCAGCTCACGATGGTCACAGGCGGGGACGAGCAGGGCGACGCAGTGTCGGACAGCAGCCAGGCGAGGAGCTGTCTAGACGAAGCGCTGCCGCGTATTCACTGGCCGTCGATCGAGGACGACCATAGCGAGACCCGAGAGGGTTACTCGTTTCTATACGACGACCGCAACGCGTGGCTGAGGGAAGGGGACGGGTGGGTGTTCCGGCGTATCGTGGGGTCCCAACCGCGGCGGCGTCAGTGGGGTATAGAGGGACCGACGTCGGGCAGCAGGGCGTTCAGGGAGGAGGTAGTGCGCGAGTACGGGCATACGTTCGAGCAGTTCCGCGAGCGGCTATGGTTGCTAATGCATATGCTAGGGGGCCAGCCGGGACGGGCGACGGAGATGGGTAGCTTACGGGTAGCTAATACGGTAAACAGCGGGGTACGGAACATCTTTATACACGACGGTATAATATATTTCGTAACGGCGTACCATAAAGGGTACCGGAGCAGCGGGCAGACTAAGATTATCCACCGGTATTTACCGAGAGAGGCCGGCGAGCTACTTGTGTAGTACTTATAGCTCGTACTTCCGTTCTAGTAGGAAGCAGAAGGCATCACGAAGCAGGCCCACCACTATAACGCTTTCTTATAGGCCGACGAGGTTATACAGAAGAGGAGCGGCGGAGGAGCGGCGACGGTAACCAGCGTAGATGTCGATAACGCGGGCGATACTGCCGAGGACGGGGACGAGGGTAGGGCGGCGTGGGCTTGGACAGAGGATCGGACGTGGACGACGGACCGGGCCAGGCGAATTATACAACGGTACAGCAGCCGGCTACTCGGTAACAAGCTGAACGTGAGCATGTGGCGGCATATTGCTATCGCTATCGCCAACCGATTCTTATACGAGGCGTTCGGGCGGTGGGATCCAGGGAAGAAGGGAGACGGCGAGGACGAAGACGAGCTCGGTAATAGCCCGTAGGATCTATAAGCCGGGCACGGGACGCGGATCGCCGGTATGATCTATGGGCGGCTATTAGTCTAGTTCGGTAGCGGGGTAGCGGCTAAGCAGCAGCAGTTTCGTAAGGTCAGCTCGTAGTGGCATCGGTTCTTGGGGTTTGGGGACGAGGACCGGGCGAGCGACGGTTACCGTAGCGGCTCGAAGCGAAAGGTAGAGCTCTACGACGGCGTCCGTCTCGAGGCCCGGCTACGGCGGTTCGCACGGCTACAGCAGGCGGACATGGCCGGCCGGCTACGGCAGATGACGGGGGACGACGCAGCGACGTTCCGCGGGAACCAGGCGAAGGTAGTCGGGGCTATCGTCAACGGGCATAGCCCGATCATCCAGGTAATGGGCACGGGCAGCGGTAAGAGTTTATCGTTTATGCTACCAGCGTTCTGCTCACTGGACGGCGTAACGGTAGTTATTATACTACTTACCGTGCTTCGGACCGACTTAGAGGCGCGGTGTACTAAATTGGGGATCGCGTCCTATATATGGCTTAGCCATAAGAACAACCAGGCCGCATCCATTATCTTCGTTATGCCCGAGTCCGCCGTTAGTAAAGGCTTCCAGGACTTCATAGCACGGCTTACGTCATGATAAGCGCTCGACCGCGTCGTGGTTAATGAGTGCCACGTTGTACTAGAGGGGACCCGGTTATTCCGGCCGAAGCTGTGCGAGGTTAGCGCGGCGATACGAGAGTTTAGGGTATAGATTATATACTTAATAGCTACGTTAGCGCCGGGCGACGAGAAGGCATTCTTCGGGCTTATAGGGATAGATCGTAACCGGACGTAACTATTCCGGGCCCCGATAAATAGGAGGAATATTAAATATAGCGTCGTAAGGGTAGATAGGTACGGCGGGCGGAGCTCGTCTCAACGCACCGGCAGACGCGGCCAGGGCGGGAAGGGGAGCAGGGAGTTTGATAGTATTAACGAAGCGTGTTGCCGCGCCGCGGAAGGGTGGCTCGCTAACGGGCAGCCGGGTAAGGTAATTATCTACGCCATATCAATAGAGAGGGTAGAGCGGTTAAGCGCGGCGCTAGGATATCCGGGGTTCTATAGCGACATCGATACGAGCCAGGGCAAGGCGGATCGACTAGCGGCATAGCGACGGGGTAGCGGGGCTAAGGGTAGGCTAGTAGTCGCAACGAACGCGCTGGGGCTCGGCATCGATATACCGGACGTACGGCTAGTGGTGCACGCGGATATACCGCGGTAGCTTCCACGTTTTATATAAGAGAGCGGTCGAGCAGGGCGGGACGGAGGGCTAAGTAGGTCGGTCGTAGTCTGCCGGGCGGCGGCAGCAGCAGCGGCAGGACCAGGGCGAGGCGGCAGCGGTAGACAAGACAGCGGGCCAGCAGACGAGTTCATACGAACGAGCGAGTGCCGGCGGGTAGTGCTCGACCGGGTGATGGACGGAAGGACGGACCGGTTATGGTGCGAAGCGGGGGAGGCGCAGTGCGAAGAGCGCTGGGGACTGAGCAGCACAAGTAACGGTTGTAGGTCAACAGACCGACCGTTCCAGCCGTCAGCTGTGCAGGAGTTCGAGAGGACATTTGAACGACTCCGCGAGCGACTGTGGATACTTCTGTATATGCTTGGCGGGTAGCCGGCGCGGGCGAGCGAGCTTGCAGGTCTACGGACGGTCAATACGGTCAACGGGGGCGTCCGTAACATACTAGTACATAACAAGATGTTATGCTTCGTCACGGCGTACCATAAAGGGTACCGGACGACAGGCCAGGCGAAGGTGATCCACCGCTATCTGCCGAGGGAGGTCGGCGAGCTCATCATATGGTATCTGTGGCTCATCTTGCCATTCTGGCAGGAGGTGCAGGGCATCATGTACGAGGCCAGCGGATATAGTGCGTTCTTATGGGCAGACGACATTATTCGGTAGATGGACCCGGAAGAAAGCAGGACGGTAGCAGTGTTGGAAGAACGGAGGGATAATATAAACGTTAGGGATAGTAACAATCGTAGTACAAATATAGACGAGGTAGGGGATGAGAGCATATGCGTAGGCGACTGGACGTAGAAAGATGAGCAAACGTGGACGATAGATAAGGCGCGGCGGATTATATAGCGCACTAGCATAAGGCTACTAGGATGCTAGGTTAACATAAATATATAGCGGCATATAGCTATCGGTATTACTAACCGCTATTTAAACGAGTCGTTTAGCCGGCCGGGTAGAGACGATAAAGGCTTGGGGTCGGACGAGGGAATAAACGAGGTTAAGGATAGCCCGTAGGACTTATAAGTAGGACATAATACGCGGCTAGCGGGCATGATCTATATACGAGAGCTTATGTAGTTTGGTAGCGGTCTTACGGCGAGGTAATAATAGTTCCGTAGAGTTAGCTATTAGTAATATAGGTTTCTAAGGTTCGGCGCCGAGGATTCGGAGTCGAAATAGGACTCCGCGGGATATAAGAGGAAAAAGACAGAGGCGTATAAAGGGCTACGGCTCGAGGCGAGGCTCCGACGGTTCGAGAAGCTAAGGAGGATAGATTTAGAAGGCTAGCTACGGTAGATGACGGGGGACGACTCGGCGGGGTTCTGCGGAAACCAGAGAGAAGCGGTGCTCGCCATCGCCAGCGGGTACACGCCGATCGTACAGGTGATGGGGACGGGCGGCGGCAAGAGCGTCTCGTTCATGTTGCCGGCGTTCTGCTCGCCGGACGGGGTGACGGTGGTTGTGACGCCGCTGGTAGCGCTGCGGACGGATCTGCACAGGCGATGCGTCAAGGCGGGGATCACATCGCACGTATGGCAGAGCCGGAAGAACAACCAGGCGGCGTCCATCATCTTCGTCACGGTCGAGTTAGCCATTATAAAGGGGTTTAGAGACTTCATCGTACGGCTAGAAGGGAGGCAGGCGTAGGCAGGCGTTAGACCGCGTCGTTATAAACGAATACTATATCGTACTAAAGGGTTCACGGAGCTTCCGGCCACGGCTTAATAAGCTCGGGGAGGCGATTCGCGAGTTCGGTATATAAACGATATACTTAACGGCGACGCTCGCGCTAAGGGACGAAGCAGCATTCTTCCACGCAATGCGACTAGAGGCAAGTCGTATAAGCATGTTCCGAACAGCGACGACGCGCAAGAACATAGGATATTCCGTCGTCATAGCAAGCGACAGGATCAGTGACGAGGACGACGGTGGCGCAGAACAAGACGAAGATGACGCGGCGCTCAAGACACTTGACACGGTTGAGGCCGAGGTATGCCGGGTAGCAGTCCAGTGGGTACGTGAGCTTCTGGCCAGCGGCGGGCGAGGCAAGGCGGTGGTATACGCCACGTTAATCGAGCAGGTAGAGCGTTTAGGATCAGTACTGGGGTACGCCACGTTCTTCAGCGACGTCGACTCGACAGAGGGCAAGGCGGCTCGGCTCGAGGCGTGGCGTCGAAGCAACGGGGCCGAGGGCGTCGTAATAGCGACGAACGCATTAGGACTAGGCATCGATATCCCGGACGTGCGGCTCGTGATCCACGCCGACATACTAACGGGACTCCGCCGATTCGTGCAGGAGAGCGGGCGAGCAGGGCACGACGGGCAGCCGAGCATATTAGTCGTAGTACGCCGCAGCGACAATAATAGCGGATCATAATAGGAGGCGGTAATAAAAAAATATCTCGCCGGCGACGAATATAGACAGGTCGTTCTTGACCGAATAATAAACGGGAGAAGTAACCGTTCTAGCTATAAAGAGGACGAAGAAGTATACGACGTCTACCGCGGGGGCGATCTAGGGTTAAGATTAAGGTTCGTTCTCGGCTATAATAGCGAGGATAGTATAGCAGAAGATAGTAAAGGAGGCCGGGCAGCGTTCTATATGCTAGATAAGTATGTAAAGCTAGACTAATAGAGAGTTAGGGTAGAGAAGATAGGCAAGGCTAGCGAAATAGAAGCATTTCTCGCGCAGCTTTACGGGCGACGTAAGAGGTACGTATTATATTTTGGGGTAAGGGACGACGAGAGGTATATGTTTATTAGATACCCGAGGAGGGCAGAGATGGAGTGGATACGGGTATAGTAAGGTATAAGGATTACCGAGCGGGAGATATTCGGTAGGAGGCGTTTCGAGCTATTCTCCGGCTACTATTACGGGTTACTGTAGGAGTTTTATAAGCGGTGGGAAGGCGAGGTAGAGGACGGCGGGCGGTTTCACTAGGTAGAGGGATAAGCGTACCAATTAGGAAGTATATTAATAGAAGTATTTACGGCCAGTATAGTAAGACTTTTAGAGGTGGTATGGAGCGGTGTATTCGAGGAGTAGATGGCTGCTAAAGGGGTGCAGATTATAGAAGATGGAAGAAAGGGTTGGGATGCGTTTTATGTGTGGCTGGGAGGGCGAATTCTCGATCAAGACCCGGGTCGGCGGGCACGTATACGCAAGCTCGCTGCTATGCTTTTGTGCAGCGCTAGGGATCCGATCTCGTCCGCTCGGGTATACCGAGCCGCACTTGTATACGGGCATGCTAGCAGCCATCTTATGGTGGTGCCGGCTCTTCTTCTTGGAGGCGGCGTTCGAGGACCAGCCACGGGACCAGGACGAGGTCGGGGTTCCGGCAGTACTTGCGTTCCGGGACCAACATGCCGCTTGGATATGTATGGGCGCGTACATAGTCGCCAGCACCATCATCGGATAGATAGCGCTCGGGAAAGGCTAGCGGATGCGGATGGGCGGGCAGCCATCGGTACGTTGGGCGGATAACGGCGAGTCGCTATTCCATAACGGCGAGCGCATCGTCGTCCGGGACTTCACGCGGGCGCTCCGGGACCAGGTCGTCGACGCACGGAAGCTGCTCGGTGCACTATGCGGGGGGGACTGGGAGCTGATCAAGACGCGCATCAAGCTAGGACGGCTCGTCGATAGTATGGTGCGGCTCGGGGCTGGCCAGTCATTCGCAACGAAGGCGGAGAACGACTAGCTAGAGCCCGGACCGGCGGTGGTGATGAGGTAGCTCGGGGCGTCGATATAGGACCCGAGAAAGCAACAGGTCAAGCGAGAGGGGGTTCGGCAGTGGCTGCGACGGCTGAAGATGTTCCGGGAGGTGCTGATGGTGCTCGTCCACGCATGGGGCGGGCTACCCGGCCGAGGGCCCGAGGTAGCGACGCTGCGGCACTGCGACTCGTAGCAGCTCATCCGCAACATCTTCGTACTCGACGGGCAGGTAATAATCGTAACGGACCGAGATAAGATAAAGGCGATCCGGGACAACTCGCGTAAAGTAGCCCGGTTCGTCCCCGACGTAATCGGGCAGATAATAATAGCGTATATGTGGCAGGTGCAGGTGGGTCACGTGAGGCAGCTCCTTCACATCTCGGAGCTGCCCCACCTACACCTTGCCCAGATATCCAGCCCAGCCAGCGCTCAGCTTTTCCTATCATCATCATCATCAGATCCAATACAGTAGTATTGCCTCCACAGGTTATGAGAGCCCAGCGTTGACTCTTTTTCTTTTTACCCCATATGAATTGATCGCCCAGCTCTGCGTAGAGCCCGTTCAATTGAGCAGTTACTAATCTGTCGACCAGAGATCGCGGCGTCGCGACTGGCAACGGCAGAGGTACAGATTCCTCAAAAAAAACAATAACAGACGCGACCGTACAGGCCGTCTACACCTATACACACACTATCACGAATCTTTCACCTCCATCGTCATCATGGCTGGCAACCGCGCCCGCTGGGAGGTGCCCGACCTCAAGGGAGAAGAAAATTGGGACCAATGGTACGCAGTACTGCATCTCACCCTTGAGACTCTCGATTACGAGAAGTACGTCGATGAAGACGTCTCTCAACCCCATCGCGATGATCCTATCACTCCAGCGCAGGCTGTGGCCTTCACTACTTGGAAGAGCCAGCGCATTGAAACGTACGGCATCATCATCGCATCAATCAGCAAAGTCCTCGATCGTCTCCTCGCTGATGGATACGACATCAAGACGGCTGACCGCAACCCCTTCCTTCTCATGAACAAATTGAAGACCATCATCCCCAAGATTTCAGAGGATGCCGTCGCCGAGCTCGTTCGAGAGCTCTGCAACCTCAAGCGCAAGGACTTCTCAGATACCCATAAGTATCTCCAGCGCGGCCAGTATCTCATTCGTCGTATCGATGAGCTGGTCCCCTCTTGGCACAAGAAAGCCATGTTCATCCTACTCAACGGATGCCAACAAGAATATCCAGCACTTTACGACAAGTACGTCGAGGACAACACCAAGACCCTTGAAGATCTCACACGCGATCTCACATTCAAGGCCAATGCCGAAAGGACTGCTTCACTCAATGCCGCGAAGGGCTACGTCGCCGTTGGAAACAACAGCAACGGCAACAACAAGGCCTCCGGTAACACCTCAAACAACAATCAGCGACCTAACAACAACTACAATGGTCCTGACTGCCAACACTGCGGCAAGAAACATGCGACTACCTCTTGCTGGGTCGCCCATCCCGACCTCATCCCGTCCAACCATAAGTACCGTGAGAACCTGCTCAAGAAAGCTGCTGCTCATACTTGTACCTCCGAATGCCGGGAGGGTAAGGCAGTCGCGGTCAAGGCTACGCCGAACGTTCTCCACCAGAACACAATGGGACATACAGTCTTGCCGTGCTCAACTTCGATGGCAACGGGCAGAATTAACCGTGACGACATTATCCTGGATTCCGGGTGCTCGCGAACCACTTTCAACAACCTCAGTTGGTTCACCTCCTTCACCGAGGCAATACTGCCACCCATGGAAGTCGCCAACGGTCAGTACGCATCGCCAGCTGGTTACGGCACGGTTTACTTCACTGCCGTTGATCCAGATGACAGCAACAAGGTGGTCGACTGGTCAATTGAGGATGTACAGTACTGCCCTGACTGCCCAGTCAACCTGCTGAGTCAAGGCACACTCCGTCAGCAGGGCTACAAGGTCAGCGACGACACTATCCACATTGGAAACAACGTCGCGATCGCCAAACTCGATTGGCATAACAATGTTGCCGTTATCGTCACCAACAACTACGAAGGCCCGAAAATTAACGCGGCCCTTAACCTTGCTATGGTAAGCAAGAATAACAACAAAGTCACATTTGACCTTATGCACAAGCGACTTTGCCACGCGGGCAAGAGCAGGGTCGTTGAAGCCTGCCGTCGTGTGGGCATAACTTTTCCTCAACAAGAAATTGACACCTTTCACTGCGAGGCTTGCCACCTAGGCAAATCTCAACAACTCATCAGCAGAGAAACCCCCATTCGAGAGGCCCAGCCCGGTCATCTCATTCACATGGACTTGGTACAATTCGAACCCTTGTCCTATACAAAGTCACGTTATCTAATTCACATGATCGACGCGCGTACAGGCTTCCAGTGGCGATACTTGCTCAAGAGCAAGCGTGCTGACGAAGTGCTTGATCGTATCGAAGAATTCATCAACTTCTTCGAAAACCAGACCAACCTTTCGATTAAGGCGTTTCAAATAGACAACGGCACCGAGCTTTTCAATGCTCTTTCGCAGGAGCTGTACACCAAACGAGGCATTAAAGTCAAATTGACTGTTGCTGACACCCCAAGCATGAATGGAAAGGCAGAGCGAGCTGGCCGGACTTTTGCAGAGGCGGCCCGAACCATGCTGATTGACGCCAACCTTCCTGATTATCTCTGGGACTATGCCGTCACCACAGTCATCACGATTGCCAACCTGTTGCCCAAAGCAACCAATCCAGGCCATCTCAGCCCCCACGAGATGCTCGCGAAAGATCTCAATCTTGACGAAGCCCATCACGTACCGTATATCCACCATATCCGCACTTTCGGCTGCGTTGCCTATCTCCACCGCAAGGGGTCATTGCAACCAGCCCGCGCCAACAAGATGGAGACAAGAGCCATCAAGGGATATCTCGTTGGATACGACTCACTTCACGGCCATCTCTTCTACGTCTACGTACCTCAAAGCCACAAGGTATACCGCTGCCGCGATGTTCGTTTCTATGAACAGGGCAAGCACCAGGACGAAGACAATGACCCAACCATTGATCACGATGCCATTTTTGCTGATCCAGACACCAGCACCTCATCTGTTGAGTATGAAGGAGCACAGAAGTCGTCCAGCACTCCTGACCGCCAGGACGAAACCACTGACAACAAGTCTGCCGAAGAGGCAACTACCCAAAACCCTCTTCCAACCCCTGAACCAGACAGCCCTATTGATCAGCAGATGTCTGCTAACATGACTGTTCAACAGCACGATACTGATACATCTTTCGATAACGCTATCGAAGAAGCTATCCAACAGGATATAGATGAAGCAACTATAGTAGTTGCCACAGAAGATCACGATCTTCAACCTACAACACAACCAACTAGACGAACTCGTCAATCTCGCCCTCCTCCAAGCCAACCAAACAGAGCCTCAACACGTGAGCATGTCAGAAACTCACAGGGCACTTGGGTCAAGAAGAGGGGCGGTTTCAGCGGTTGCTCTCTCCGAGGCAACACGTATGCCAAGTCTGATGGTTATCAACAAGCCTATGTCAGCCTTGACACAGTTGTGTGGGAAGACAACCAGCCTCCAGTATTATCTGCCATCGCCGCTGCCGCACTCGCTGGTCCAACCGTACCT